AGGTCCCAGGATAAGACCCTTCCCATTATACCATCTCCTTTCTTTATTTATATAAAGTCCATCACCAACGGCCTCTGGACCCGAACCGGTCGCGGGTCCTAAATAAAGTCCTTTTCCGTCTGTCTCTATCTGGCAAACACAACCTCCTTTCTTGAGATACAACCCGTTCCCAACCACCTTTTGCACTCCCGAACTAGCCAAACCAGAAAGAGCGCCAATGCCTAATGCTGGAAGTACCGTCTTTGCCAAAACAGGCGATGCACGCGCTGCCAAACCAGCAAGCATCCCAAGGAAACCGCCCTCAACTTTCATATTGTGTTTGAGTTGAGCTTTACTCATTTTGATAGTTATTCCTTTACCACCTTCATAGGCTTTGGCTAATCTCTTCACTTGTCTGTCTGTCAGTGTTAAGACATCTTCACCGTTCAAATCTTCGTGACCAAAACGGACACTGACAGGACAACCGTTTTGAAGGGCCTCTCGTAATTTTTGTTTCTGCCCTTCTGAAACATTCAATTTAACATTCGTATATCGTGACATTTTATATATACGAATATTTTTTTTATTACACTTGTCTGATGTGAAACCTCAATGATAAATTATCTCCTCTTAAATTTAGCAGCGTGCCATTTTGGTCGGTGAGTGAAGTCTCAAGACTGTGTATGGTGTCTAGTGTCACGGGAAGATACACCAAATTTCGTGGTGTTTCAACTTTTTTATGTCCAGGGGTGACATTTGGAAAGAAGGGGTATATCGTGTGTTGTGAAGCTCCATTAACGTAGCTCCCTGAGATATTGTCAACATTAACATGCAAGCTGACAATACTAAGAATGTTGACGACATTTTCAGACTCCTGAAATCCTAGTGCGTAAATGTCGTGGTTAAATCCTAACACACTGGAAATGGAGTTGGGATGCCTAAAGTCTATTTGGTAATTATTATCTAAAATAAGGACAGTCTTTAGTGTGTTCGTGTTTGCAGAAATTGTAACGTAATATTCCTCATTGACACTGCCATAGTGTCCATTCTGCCTCATCTTTTGTTGAATTGTGTCGTTAATGTCATCGATGTTATAGATACCTTCTGGTTAATAAATTTCGAACCATGTTGTTCCGCCATCGGGCGAGTATCTAAAATAATTATTACTCGCATCAATGTTAGGAAAAGAGTAGTAAGTCTCGAGATTGACGAGTGCCATCTCGTGCTTTTTCTTTTTGTCGAGTTGAATTGGTGGATTGAACCTAGTTTTAAATCTTGTCTTGTTGCTATTCAGGACAATCTGAAACGAGGTTTTAGGCTCAGTGTTTTCAGCTATTTTTTCAAGTATTGATTCCATTTTTTTTTTTTTTTTTTTATAATATAATATTTTTTTTAACTCGGAATATAAAATGTATCAAATCCACTTCTGTACTTACCGTTCTGCCTGTTACTGGTCAGGTCGATCACTACGAACCCATGTGGTTTTTCCCATGCTACCTTGCACAGACCTTTGAATCCATCTTTTGACATGTCTTGACTCACATGATCATTATAGATATGGTTGATATTCTTCAGGTCTTGTGGGAACAAGCAGATAAAGTTTGCATTTTCTCTTATCGTTTGGCGTGGTAGCTTGAAGTAGTTTTGTGAAAAGTAGAAACAATCTACATTGCTGTGTCTTCCACGAATATAGTAAGACTCACATTTATTCTGTTTCTCCAACGGCAAATCATCATATATCATTAAATTCTTGTTTTCGGAACTTAAATCATGGGGGTCTGGGACGTCTTCGGCAGATTCGTAAAAGTAGCATTGTATGTCCGACTTGTCTTTCATCTGTTTAGACCATGCCTCAACAAGCGCTGAGGGTGACACATCTGACTTCATTACCTCATCGCGCAGGGCAAACAAGCGCATAATAGCTTCTTTTGGCAATTCCTCTTCAAAAGCTTTCTTGAGGATGCGGTATTCAGGTTGGAATAGACTCTTGCCGAATACTGCTAGCTTGTTATAGTCAAGCCAACCCGGTCTCAGTAAAAGATTGAGCAAAAGTGTGGTTTTACCACACCCCGATTTGCCTACAATCATTCCCCTTATGCTCTTTGGCAGAAGCTTGTGATTGAACCGTTTTGATACCATTTCATTCCACGATAAATCTTTGACTTCCATATTTTTAATATAAATATTTTTATATATATATAAAAAAAAACATAATTTATTGCGTGAAATGCAAAAGAGTTACTGAAACAAGTGATGTTCAAAACACTGTTTCTAAAAATGGACGAAATATGAAGCGGGGTAAATGTGTCGTGTGTAGGATAACAAAAACACAATTTGTAGGCGGATCAATGGTGAATGAAGCCATCAATCATTTACCGTTTGAAATGCATCTCCCGGGACATAATTTTACGGAACCTGGGACTAATCTCGGTAAAAGGCTGAAACCAGACCCCACACCAAAGGAATGGAGTAAACCTATCAACAGGGTTGATAATGTTGCATACCATCATGATGTGTGTTACTTGAAAAACAAGGACACTAATACAAGAAATAGGGTATGTGACAAGAATATGTTAGCTGAACTGGGTGGAATTGTTAACCCTACACTTAGAGAGAGGTTGGATAGATCTATTGTGGACAAGATCATTGGCACTAAGATGAGGTTTGGAATGGGGGTGGGAGGGAAAAAAAAGCAGCAGGTTGAGGAGATGAGCTCAACGCCTACAGCACTCAAAGCATTGGCTGAAGAATTACACAGACCCGTGAGAAAAAAGTTTGAGAGAAGGAGGGTACGTGTTAATGGCATCGATAAAATTTGGGCCGCAGATTTGGTAGACATGCAGGCATTCTCGAAATTTAATCGCGGCACCAAGTATTTCCTTGCCGTTATCGACATTTTCTCCAAGTACGGTTGGTTAGTGCCATTAAAAGATAAAAAGGGGAAATCGGTCGCAGCTGCACTGAAAAAGATACTCAAGGGGAGGAAACCGAAAAAGATTTGGGTGGATAAGGGCAAATAGTTTTACAATAAAGACGTGCAGAGTTTATTCGAGTTATACTCGATTGAAAACGAGGAAAAATCGAGTGTGGTGGAGAGATGGATCAGAACGATGAAGGAAAAAATGTGGAAATATTTTTCCTCCAATTCCACGAGTGTCTACATCAATGTGCTCGACGAACTTGTCGATCAGTACAATAATACGACACACTCGTCAACAAAACATACACCCACCGAAGCCAGCAAGAAGAAAAATGAAACCCGAGTGTGGATGAATCTATACCCCAACCATGATGAGCCTAGGATAATTCACCCCAAGTTTTCCGTCGGAAGCAAGAAAAAGAAAACCTTTGAGAAGGGCTATCAACCGAGATGGACGGAAGAAGTATTCACGATAACGGCGGTACAACGCACGTCGCCTGTAACGTATAAGATTAGCGACCAAAACGGAGAAGAAATTCGGGGTACCTTCTACGAACCCGAGTTGCAGAAGACGAGCCAAGAGGTATACAGGATAGAAAAAGTCGTCAAGAAAGGTAAAACGAGGTCGCTGGTCAAGTGGAAGGGTTATCCAGAGACGTTCAATTCATGGGTCAGCAATAAGGAGATAGTCGAGCTTGTGAGGCCGCTCGTTACATTATAGAATGTTTTTTCTTTAAGTCATTTTTAGAAACATCATTTTTCTTTAAGTCATTTAGACCATGTTTAAACATGGTTGTGGTTGGTTTTGAGCTTGTTGAGTCGGATGTGTTAGTGGTTGGTTTTCAACCCTAATTTGAAAATGCTCTCATACCGGCAATTTCTTACTACTACCGTTTGTCGCTGCGTGCTGATCATTCAACTTCATTTTAACAGGAACGGCATTCCGTTCTCTACTTGATAAAAGAAGACACGCAGGCGAATAGTACTTTTATCAAACAATCGGGTGTAAAAAAAAAGACCATACAAAAAGATACACAAGGGGTCTAGCGTCTTTGTCGGTCACCTGAGATCAGCAATATTGAATATATAGGTTAAAGGATAGTTATCAAGTGTCATGAAACAGAAATTGTGACACTGAATATCATCAAAACTGTCATCCTATACTGATAACTCTTATAAAGTTAGTTCCATTGGGAAATAACCAACGATATGCTTAAAAATGTTATTATTCCATGAAAATTACAGTAAAGTATAAAACGATATTCGTCTCCAGGAAGATATGTGAGACTCATTTTGGTAATCAAAGCACCTTAGGATGCTTCCATTCATGAAGAGTATTTGGTTCCACCATATCTGGGTCTCGAGAAGAAGATTTTTGAAATTTAAGTCAATTTGCCCCATTTGGCCCCGCGCTCCAGCCCTTTGTGGTCAGTCAGGATGAAAATGGGCATACCATCTTTCACTCTTAAATCTAACCAAGTTTGAAATATTTCCAATGGAAATTAAACAAATTATGCCCAAAAATCTAGTTTTTTCTATATAAACTATATTCAACTTTATCCCCTCCTCACGGGAAATTGTGAGACCACGGGGCCATGAAATTCACAATTTGGATAAAGCACCTTAATATGCTTTCGTTCATGAACAGTTATTGATTCTGCCATATCTGGGTCCTGAGAAAACGTTTTTAAAATCCGAATCAATTTGCCCACTTTTGGCCCGTCCTTCAGGCCCCTGAGGGGTGGGGACTGTTTTATTTCTGTAAAATTTCATTGAAATCGGGCCAAGGGTTTTTGAGAAGTCGTAGGTGTTAAATTGTTTACGGACGCACGACGCACGAAACCGGATGAAGGGTATTAGAAAAAGTCACCATAAGACTTCAAGTAACCTAACAAGAGAAGAGATCTTTTCGCATACAATCAGATTGTAAAAAAAGCTGTACAAAAAACATACAAATGAACAGCACCTTCCCCATACAATCAAGTGTAAAAAATGGACGTACATATGACAAATATTTCACATAAATGTAAAAAAAAATGTTCTTAGATCATCGATTGATTAACGACATCATAGTAAATATGTTAAACATTTCCGATCCTACCTGTTGCCCAGGCTACACCTCCAGTCATCGCGAGAGGATAGAATGTGCTCTGACGGATCAGCTGAATCACAATTCCAGTCGTGATAATGGCGCTAGACATTACCCATTGGAAAAACATACCTGAAATAAGTTAATTAGTTAACACAACAAAATTATTCATAGATATTCTATGTATAATTTTTAACTCTGTTATAAGACAAAAAAAATTAATCATTATTATGGAACAGTATACTGATACGTAAAGTTTATCTGTTAATGAAGTATAAAGTTTGTGTTTACTAACTTGTCTGGTATATACTGATGGTTAACAGTCAGTTATTATGTCGGGGACAGATCTGTAATGTAGATTATCTGTTAATGAAGTATAAAGTTTGTGTTTACTAACTTGTCTGGTATATACTGATGGTTAACAGTCAGTTATTATGTCGGGGACAAATCTGTAATGTAGATTATCTGTTAATGAAGTATAAAGTTTGTGTTTACTAACTTGTCTGGTATATACTGATGGTTAACAGTCAGTTATCATGTCGGGGACAGATCTGTAATGTAGATTATCTGTTAATGAAGTATAAAGTTTGTTTACTAACTTGTCTGGTATATACTGATGGTTAACAGTCAGTTGTTATGTCGGGGACAGATCTGTAATGTAGATTATCTGTTAATGAAGTATAAAGTTTGTTTACAAACTTGTCTGGTATATACTGATGGTTAACAGTCAGTTGTTATGTCGGGGACAGATCTGTAATGTAGATTATCTGTTAATGAAGCATAAAGTTTTCCCTGATGATACCGAGCCTATCTATATTCATTTCTAAGGGTTTTCATTCTACGCTTTGTTGTACTAATTTGTATCTCGAAACCGATAATTTGATATGATGAATGGCGATACCAGTAATACATTCTAAAGGTATTACTACTAGTATATTGAAGTGATATCACATATTCAATGTGCAGCGTGCAAAATGTGACAAGGCGTTGATGGGTTGGTGTCGTGCAAGTGTTTCAAACAGTATCATACAGAATACTAACATATATATGTTGAAAACATCACGATGCACGTGTTAGGGCGTGGCGATCTAGGCCGGTGTGATATACATAACAGATATATGATTAATTCTGATTATCCAACATATCAGTTGATGTCATATCGTAGTACAACATTTACTTGGTAACTAGCAAATTCAGTTTTTTGTTGAGAACAAATAAATAAAGTTTCGAGAAAAACCGTATCAGATGAAATATTTGTAAAAGGAAAAAGAGGATTAGCGGCGTTTATATTAAGAGATGATCTGCCGAGATTTCAAACTAAAGGCACAACAGCATCATCACTTAGATCGTCATTCGACTTCAATTCTACAATCGTCAGAAACGGCTTTCTAAAACTTCAAAACTATTGGTGAACAGTCAGTTATTATGTCAGGGATAAATTTGTAATGTATATTATCTGTTAAGGAAGTATAAAGTTCGCATGTATACATCGGCATTCTTTGTCGTGTACTCTTCTTTTTAAGAACGTAACATAACTTACTTGAATTAACCAAGGTTTACGAGGTGGGTGACGTCAATGAAGAGGAGGACACCTTATTCTAACATCAGGTCGTATTCTCCGTGCAAAGTTTCCTTCATAGTTTGTCCAAGTTTTATTGAATTGGAGTTAGGATTATGATTATGTTGACATGTTGGTATTTTTCTACTCTTTCTTTTTATAAAGGAGATGATACGATGGTATGTTTATGAAAAACCTCGATCTGTACATATTGTGTGTATCTCTCATGTCAAAGAAAAATATTGTGTAAACAATAATACGAGTTCTGTATTGTTATATATATCCGTTAAACATTTAAAGGGATTGTGTAAAATGAATCAACACTACATGTTCATTTAGTAAGAATATGCAAGCCAAGATAAGGAATTAAACTGCATTTGATTCGTCCTAGGAGTTTTCAGTGATGGGAAAGGCCTTAAAGCGATGACTTCTAGGATGCGAATGAAGAAGGACAAGATTGGTCGAAATGATGTTAAAACAAAGATGGGTAGGTGCATGTGATCTCGTACTGCTAACTACTACATGGTTATATAAGTTAAACGATCTTATAAATATGTAGCTGTGGTTTATATAACACGGTCTTGTTTATCAGTGAAGAGAACGCTATATGTTTGTATTAATGATGAATTGTGCTACTAATGAAATCATACCATCTCCAGTCTCGTATTTTTTTACGGGCACGAAGTTGCTACCGTAAAAGAGAACAGATACAAGAGCCGAGATATATCCCCATTCTGGAGCGAGTGTGTTTTCACTACTGCAGGCTGTGGAGTTACCAATTGGAATGTCTGTCGTCATGGCGAATCACTAATGGCAACATGAAAAATATATATTTTACATAAATACTCGATCAGCTTAAATAAGGAATTAGGTCAGATTAACGTTGTATTATTAAACCATCTCGGCCCAACAATAGGACGAGTGTGCCACACTTATTGGCCCTAGATTACTATTGATAACAATTCATCCTCTAGTTTTTCAGCTGTGTTGTTATAGAAATTATGAATACACTTTAAAAATCAAGATACATACGTATGACATACGTTCCAGTTAAGATGAATCTCTCCCAAGTATATTTCTATTTTCATTATAAAAACTGTGATATTGTATACATGCAGTACTCACCCTCTTTCCGCTATCATATATTTACTCAGTTATCACTATGCGATATCGGGACGTCTACCTTAGTGCGCATGATTAACCCATAAGTAGCAGTATGTATTGACCTGTATTACAGAGATAGGCTTGTTCATCATATGACATTAAATGTTTGACTTTCCTACTACTGGACAGCAGTGTAACATTGCCCTTTTTATTATTGATAACAAATACTGTATGATAAAATGAAATGTATTGATATATTCAACCCGTACAATAATGGTGACAGCATCTTCACCGCAAATAACTTGTGAAACAGAAATCCGAATTTGCCATCCAAGACAAATTACCCGACGCAGTTCATGTACACTTGTGTATGATGCATAATGCTCCATTTCTTTGTGCGATATGAAGCTGGACGTGTTTAATGCTCGTTAATTTGCCTGTTGCCGTACACCTTGTTCTCATTATCGAGACATTACTGGCTTGGATTGACCAAGATTAACATGCTGGGAGTCATCGATGAAGCAGGAGACGTTTACTATTCTGGAACACCGGGTCTTATCATCCTCACACGATTTCATGAACATCAGAGTAAATCATTCTTTGGTTCACAGTTTTATTTAATTGAATTATGATTATTTTGAATTGTTGGTATTATTTTTACTGTCTTTGACTATTAAGATTTCTCGATAGTGGTTTTCTTTATTTCTATAAAAATAGATAGCAATATCCATGCTTTCCAAATCCATGGTGGTTTTGCGCAATTGATTCAGTATATACGGGAGAGCTTTGTTCCAAACATCATGCTTTCCTTGCGAGATGTTGACATCTAGCAGATACACACCACAGGGTTTCGAATGACGCAGGCGTTTGAAAATTTTCTAATTCTATGTCATACCGTAAGATGTAAGATGTTTTCGATGATCTTTATTAAGTCTTACGTTAGACTTTGTTACACGAAAATCGTGATAACAGGGTCAGACTCTTGATTATCGAATAAACTACGATATGTATACATCATAGGTTCGGGATGCAGGTAAACGGTTTCCTCCCACACTAAGACCACTCGCGCGCTTCCATCCGAGCCAACAAGAGTGATCTATATAAGTTGGAAAAACTTGCTTCGCAATTGTTGTAAAATAAATAAAATTTATTATTATTATTAGATAAACTGCTACCCTGAAATGGAAAATTACAACAGGAAAATTGTAATCAAAAAGCTTATCATACAGCTAACAGGAAAAACTGTCCATGTTGATATCATTGTAGGAAAAGATATTACTAAGTGGTTGATGTAGAAGTGTCATTCTTGTCCTTGGTGTTCAATTTCAGCAGGTATATACGATGGAAGAAGTGAATAAATATTTCCCTTGTTATTTAAAAAAGACATCATCAATATATCTGAAAATGAAATCAAACGACATTGAAAAAGTATTTCAGACCTGTTTTGATAAGCTCTTTGATGAATTCAGCTTCGCAATCAAGGCAGTCAACAAAGGCGCTTAGTTAGTCGCCAAAGGTATGCCAATATTCGTAACGCCATTCCTCTTATATACACGGAAATGCTTCGTGTTATATTTGATATGGGTCTGTAAGACTCCAACATTCAGAGTTAAGAACAACAGGTGTGGTGTATTTTGATGTATTGACGTATATAATTTTAAGGATACACTCGGTAAGTTTTCACATTTTAAAAGTCACATTAACATTTATCAATCAATATCCCATGCTACATCACCGACACACTCCCTCGCTCACTCGACACACGAGAAGAAAACAGCTTTTATGTATCTGCACACTACGACAAGAAACGACACAACAATGAATATGAATGAAAAAGGCCACCCTTACAGAGAGGGTGACTTTGTATTTATTTATGAAATTAAAAACATATCTTACAGTTTTGTGGGGAAGACATTCTGTCAAGTCTTTGTGGCGGTTTTTTTTTGTTAACCCCACATTGGCTTTTTATTATAACTACTGAAAAAGTAACCTTTAGTTCATTTTATGGTTTATGTAACTGTAAGATATGTTGTACACATATATCACAAATTGTTGATATCATTTGATTGACTATAACTGTCACAGTTATCGATCATGATATATTTCCTTTCCTTGATATCACATGTGTCCTAATTGTCAATCACAACAGTTTCTATCATTTCTTGACTTCACATGTGTCCTAATTGTCCATCATCTTAAATCTTTTTATTCAGTTGCTATAGATGTGTCCCCGAAAAGATTAGATTTTCATTCCTTCACTATATATGTGTTACAGTCATCCTTCACTTTAGATTTTCATTCCTTGACTCTGAATGTGTCACAACCATCGGTGACTGTAAATGTGTCACAATCGTCGGTGACTGTAAATGTGTCACAACCGTCGGTGACTGTAAATGTGTCACAACCGTCGGTGACTGTGACACAACGTCGGTGACTGTAAATGTGTCACAACCGTCGGTGACTGTGACACAACCGTCGGTGACTGTAAATGTGTCACAACCGTCGGTGACTGTGACACAAAGTCGGTGACTGTAAATGTGTTACAATCGTCGATAACAGTAAATGTTTCCATCAGTTGAGTGTGGACGCTATTCGTTAACGATTTTCCAGTTCTTGACAGAAGGCGTGTTGCCAGTCATTGATCAGATTCATTTTTTGTTCACTGTAAATAAGTTACAAATCCTCAATTACTTTTCAGTCGTTTTTGATAGGTATTTCTTCTGGTCATTTGAAGGGGACAAGTTTGTTCACAATTTTTGACAAAATTGTTTCCTAAATACGTGTCACTGACTACTCGTGTGTTACCATTACGTTACATACAGTGACACACTTAATCAGCACCAGGTTTTCACAAATTGAAGTAAACAGTTTGAACAACTAAGCAAAGTAGATCTGTTGACTGCATCACACTTTTTCTGTCATGCTCAATTTCAACTGCAAAAAAAAAAGAATACAAAAAAGTAACAACTTAGTAAAGAATAAAAACATTACTAATCTGTGGGATGTAAGGAACTGTTACTAAAAAAACTGTTATGTTTAAAGAGAGGTTAATAAATCATATGTTATGTTTAAGGAGAGGTTAATAAATCATATGTTATATTAAGGAGAGGTTAATAAATCAAATGTTATGTTTAAGGAGAGGTTGATAAATCAAATGTTATGTTTAAGGAGAGGTTGATAAATCAAATGTTATGTTTAAGGAGAGGTTAATAAATCATATGCTATGTGTATGGAGAGGTTAATAAATCAAATGTTATGTTTAAGGAGAGGTTAATAAATCAAATGCTATGTGTATGGAGAGGTTAATAATGATATGTTATGTTTAAGGAGAGGTTAATAAATCAAATGTTATGTTTAAGGAGAGGTTAATAAATCAAATGTTATGTTTAAGGAGAGGTTAATAAATCATATGCTATGTGTATGGAGAGGTTAATAATGATATGTTATGTTTGAGGAGAGGTTAATAAATCAAATGTTATGTTTAAGGAGAGGTAAATAATGATATGTTATGTTTGAGGAGAGGTTAATAAATCATATGCTATGTGTATGGAGAGGTTAATAATGATATGTTATGTTTGAGGAGAGGTTAATAAATCAAATGTTATGTTTAAGGAGAGGTTAATAAATCATATGTTATGTGTATGGAGAGGTTAATAAATCAAATGTTTTGTTTAAGGAGAGGTTAATAAATCATATGCTATGTGTATGGAGAGGTTAATAAATCATATGCTATGTGTATGGAGAGGTTGATAAATCAAATGTTATGTTTAAGGAGAGGTTAATAAATCAAATGTTATGTTTAAGGAGAGGTTAATAATGAAATTATGTTTAAGGAGAGGTTAATAAATCATGTGTTATTTGTAAGGAGAGGTTAATAATGAAATTATGTTTAAGGAGAGGTTAATAAATCATATGTTATGTTTAAGGAGAGGTTAATAAATCAAATGTTATGTTTAAGGAGAGGTTAATAAATCAAATGTTATGTTTCAGGAGAGGTTAATAAATCAAATGTTATGTTTAAGGAGAGGTTAATAAATCATGTGTTATTTGTAAGGAGAGGTTAATAATGATATGTTATGTTTAAGGAGAGGTTAATAATGATATGTTATGTTTGAGGAGAGGTTAATAAATCAAATGTTATGTTTAAGGAGAGGTTAATAAATCAAATGTTATGTTTAAGGAGAGGTTAATAAATCATATGTTATGTTTAAGGAGAGGTTAATAAATCATGTGTTATTTGTAAGGAGAGGTTAATAATGATATGTTATGTTTAAGGAGAGGTTAATAATGTTGTGTTTACAGTGAGTTAATGAGTAAACTGTTGAGTTTACAGAGAGGTTAATGAGTCAAGTGTTGTGTTTACAGAGAGGTTAATGAGTAAACTGTTGTGTTTACAGAGAGGTTAATGAGTACACTGTTGTGTTTACAGAGCGGTTAATGAGTAAACTGTTGAGTTTACAGTGAGGTTAATGAGTCAAGTGTTGTGTTTACAGAGAGGTTAATGAGTATACTGTTGTGTTTACAGAGAGGTTAATGAGTAAACTGTTGTGTTTACAGAGAGGTTAATGAGTATACTGTTGTGTTTACAGAGAGGTTAATGAGTATACTGTTGTGTTTACAGAGAGGTTAATGAGTAAACTGTTGTGTTTACAGAGAGGTTAATGAGTAAACTGTTGTGTTTACAGAGAGGTTAATGAGTAAACTGTTGTGTTTACAGAGAGGTTAATGAGTAAACTGTTGTGTTTACAGAGAGGTTAATGAGTAAACTGTTGTGTTTACAGAGCGGTTAATGAGTAAACTGTTGTGTTTACAGAGAGGTTAATGAGTATACTGTTGTGTTTACAGAGAGGTTAATGAGTAAACTGTTGTGTTAACAGAGAGGTTAATGAGTAAACTGTTGTGTTAACAGAGAGGTTAATGAGTAAACTGTTGTGTTTACAGAGAGTTTAATGAGTATACTGTTGTGTTTACAGAGCGGTTAATGAGTAAACTGTTGTGTTTACAGAGCGGTTAATGAGTAAACTGTTGTGTTTACAGAGCGGTTAAGGAGTATACTGTTGTGTTTACAGAGAGGTTAATGAGTATACTGTTGTGTTGACAGAGAGGTTAATGAGTAAACTGTTGTGTTGACAGAGAGGTTAATGAGTCAAGTGTTGTGTTTACAGAGAGGTTAATGAGTTAACTGACATGTTTATGGAGAGTTTTTGAGTAACTTGTCGTGTTTAAGGTGAGGTAAATAAGTTAACTGACATGTTTAAGAAGAACTTTCTAATGAAACTGTTGAAGTAGAGATTAATCAATGCATTTAAAGTGTTATATATATACACAAATGTACAATGCAATTTACTAACAATTTGCTAATAACTTTGTTATGATGCCTCTTTTCTTTGTATCAAATGATAAACAGATATTGTGACATGATTACTTTAAAGCAGTACAACACACCTTTTCCAGTTCTAGTTGTGTAGCTTCCATTTGATGTGAGCACACTGTACTCAAGGTCGAATCTGGGTTCGTAATTATGTATTCTGTTATGACTTGCTTCACTTTTCCATAGGATGATCCTACAATACATATTAAAATACCTCTTGTATAAGCAGATTTTGAAGCAACAATCTCGATGTTTCATGGGACAAGACTGGTGTGCTCTTCATTTGGGCTATGTGTGAAATAAAATGTACCAAAAGTCATTGTAAACCCACTTTACATCAGGTAGATAGGAAATCCCTCTAGAGTGCAATAAACAACAATGGACATATCTAATATCATTTAATATACAATTAACATAAATGTACCTACCACTTCAGAACATTTCAATATTTTTCAAGCACGAATGTTGAGGTCATCTGATTTGTTTCCCCTGGGTATTTTTAATTTAAAACAACATTTTACAAATGTAGATATCACCTTAGATATACACCCTGGTATAATACTACACACACATCACCCTGGTATAATACTACACATACACATGTCACCCTCGTATAATACTACACATACACATGTCACCCTCGTATAATACTACACATACACATGTCACCCTCGTATAATACTACACATACACATGTCACCCTCGTATAATACTACACATACACATGTCACCCTCGTATAATACTACACATAATACTACACATACACATGTCACCCTCGTATAATACTACACATACACATGTCACCCTCGTATAATACTACACATACACATGTCACCCTCGTATAATACTACACATACACATGTCACCCTGGTATGATCTTACACATACACATGTCACCCTCGTATAATACTACACATACACATGTCACCCTGGTATGATCTTACACATACACATGTCACCCTCGTATAATACTACACATACACATGTCACCCTGGTATGATCTTACACATACACATGTCACCCTCGTATAATACTACACATACACATGTCACCCTCGTATAATACTACACATACACATGTCACCCTCGTATAATACTACACATACACATGTCACCCTCGTATAATACTACACATACACATGTCACCCTCGTATAATACTACACATACACATGTCACCCTCGTATAATACTACACATACACATGTCACCCTACACATACACATGTATAATACTACACATACACATGTCACCATGGTATAATACTACACATACACATGTCACCCTCGTATAATACTACACATACACATGTCACCCTGGTATAATACTACACATACACATGTCACCCTCGTATAATACTACACATACACATGTCACCCTCGTATAATACTACACATACACATGTCACCCTCGTAAAATACTACACATACACATGTCACCCTGGTATAATACTTCACATACACATGTCACCCTCGTATAATACACATACACATGTCACCCTCGTATAATACTACACATACACATGTCACCCTGGTATAATCTTACACATACACATGTCACCCTCGTATAATACCCTCGTATAATACTACACATACACATGTCACCCTCGTATAATACTACACATACACATGTCACCCTCACATACACATGTATATATACTACACATACACATGTCACCCTCGTATAATACTACACATACACATGTCACCCTCGTATAATACTACACATACACATGTCACCCTCGTATAATACTACACATACACATGTCACCTGGTATAATACTACACATACACATGTCACCCTTGTATAATACTACACATACACATGTCACCCTGGTATAATACTACACATACACATGTCACCCTCGTATAATACTACACATACACATGTCACCCTCGTATAATACTACACATACACATGTCACCCTCGTATAATACTACACATACACATGTCACATAATACTACACATACACATGTCACCCTCGTATAATACTACACATACACATGTCACCCTGGTATAATACTACACATACACATGTCACCCTCGTATAATACTACACATACACATGTCACCCTCGTATAATACTACACATACACATGTCACCCTCGTATAATACTACACATACACATGTCACCCTCGTATAATACTACACATACACATGTCACCCTCGTATAATACTACACATACACATGTCTGTCACCCTCGTATAATACTACACATACACATGTCACCCTCGTATAATACTACACATACACATGTCACCCTCGTATAATACTACACATACACATGTCACCCTCGTATAATACTACACATACACATGTCACCCTCGTATAATACTACACATACACATGTCACCCTCGTATAATACTACACATACACATGTCACCATGGTATAATACTACACATACACATGTCACCCTGGTATAATACTACACATACACATGTCACCCTCGTATAATACTACACATACACATGTCACCCTCGTATAATACTACACATACACATGTCACCCTCGTATAATACTACACATACACATGTCACCCTCGTATAATACTACACATACACATGTCACCCTGGTATAATACTACACATACACATGTCACCCTCGTATAATACTACACATACACATGTCACCCTCCACATACACATGTCACCCTCGGTATAATACTACACATACACATGTCACCCTCGTATAATACTACACATACACATGTCACCCTCGTATCGTACACATAATACTACACATACACATGTCACCCTCGTATAATACTACACATACACATGTCACCCTCGTACACTACACATACACATGTCACCCTCGTATAATACTACACATACACATGTCACCCTCGTATAATACTACACATACACATGTCACCCTCGTATAATACTACACATACACATGTCACCCTCGTATAATACTACACATACACATGTCACCCTCGTATAATACTACACATACACATGTCACCCTCGTATAATACTACACATACACATGTCACCCTCGTATAATACTACACATACACATGTCACCCTCGTATAATACTACACATACACATGTCACCCTCATATAATACTACACATACACATGTCACCCTCGTATAATACTACACATACACATGTCACCCTCGTATAATACTACACATACACATGTCACCCTGGTATAATACTACACATACACATGTCACCCTGGTATAATACTACACATACACATGTCACCCTACACATACACATGTCACCCTCGTATAATACTACACATACACATGTCACCCTCGTATAATACTACACATACACATGTCACCCTCGTATAATACTACACATACACATGTCACCCTCGTATAATACTACACATACACATGTCACCCTTGTATAATACTACACATACACATGTCACCCTCGTATAATACTACACATACACATGTCACCCTCGTATAATACTACACATACACATGTCACCCTGGTATAATACTACACATACACATGTCACCCTGGTATAATACTACACATACACATGTCACCCTCGTATAATACTACACATACACATGTCACCCTCGTATAATACTACACATACACATGTCACCCTCGTATAATACTACACATACACATGTCACCCTCGTATAATACTACACATACACATGTCACACTCGTAATACTACACATACACATGTCACCCTGGTATAATACTACACATACACATGTCACCCTCGTATAATACTACACATACACATGTCAAACTCGTATAATACTACACATGTCACTCTGGTATAATACTACACATACACATGTCACCCTCGTATAATACTACACATACACATGTCACCCTCGTATAATACTACACATACACATGTCACCCTCGTATAATACTACACATACACATGTCACCCTCGTATAATACTACACATACACATGTCACCCTCGTATAATACTACACATACACATGTCACCCTCGTATAATACTACACATACACATGTCACCCTCGTATAATACTACACATACACATGTCACCCTGGTATAATACTACACATACACATGTCACCCTGGTATAATACTACACATACACATGTCACCCTCATATAATACTACACATACACATGTCACCCTCGTATAATACTACACATACACATGTCACCCTCGTATAATACTACACATACACATGTCACCCTCTTATAATATGTGTCCTGGTACTATCTTGTCGAAATACAACCCTAACACAAGTAAACCAGGGTTCTGTTTTCCATCTCCTGCGGAGGAATCCGACATTGTCTCCAGGGTTACAATTTTAGCTGGGGTAGCAATAATGTGAAGTATCAAAATTGAAAAGAAAATCTAAATGATGATATTTCAATTCTTATACAAATAGATCCATATCTCTCACTTTTAACCATCCTAACATACATGATGCTATCTTCTTAGTGATACCTGGAATCTAAAGGCAAATGAAGCCAGATACACATGAATCGAGACAGTTCAGGCAGACTCAATTTTGCTGACATTACCCAAGCTTTGAAAAAAGAGTTTACTAGTATGAGTGAAAATGTAAACCTATTACTTACCAGTGTCACGTTTGAGCACTTCAGACAGAATCTTACGCAGGAGCGGTGAGTCTTGTAACTCCACAAATTCACTCAGCATATGTGGCTGAAGTTTTAAGAATAACATTTTTAAACATCACTGAACTAATACAGTGAGAAGGAGCTCACATACTCCCCATCCCCAACCTGTACACATACTTTTTGTTTACAAAAGGTTAAGGGTGACCTTTGAACTTTAACCTTTACCAATGACCAACGAAGTTTAACTAGTTGTAGACTTGGTGGTATGATGTTATGTTGTAAATATGAATCAAATCTGATCACAAGATCTTGACCATAAGGATATCATGAATACATGCCAAGCACCTAGGCATCAAAGACAAAGTGATTACTATATATATATTTTCTTTACGTAAGTGAAGCGTATCAAAGGGAGATCGTACAAACTTACCAGCAGAGAGATATAGTCCTTACACATATGATTTAAATAACATAGTTATGTCAAAATTTACAATAGAATCTACTTTCCATTTTAAAAAACAAAAGGGTATCAGAGTGTGTACATGGGAACATAATTACATAGGATTTACCTTATCCTGTAGCTGGCAAAGACAAGCTTTGATATGTGAAAACCTTACATGCTGGTGAGTCTGGGGTGTCTATGAACAAAACATACAACAATTAGCAATTTTATCTGTCTAATAATAAGCACATATATTGTAGTCTGTAAGTAAAATATGCTGTAAGCCTTATGACATCACAAACAGCCTATGTTTAGAATTACTTAGACCATTTCAATGTTTTTTCAAATGAAAGACTCTTAATATCACTTCTGTTCACATAATCTTTGCATTTTTCTAACCTTAGGTAACAGAATGTACAATAAATGTCTAACCCTTTGTATCAAGGACTATCCTCTCATTAGTTTCAATTCTACAAACCAAATGTTAAACGATCCTTTACTTTCTGATGAATGTTTTGAATCCCTTATGTAGCCAGCAATGATTTATTAATTTAGTTTGATTTAGTTTATTACCAGTGCAGGATCGTTACGATCCTCTATACCGGTCTCAGTGATACAATGATAATGTTTATAATTATTGTCATTTGAGACGTCAGATCCAGGAACAACAGATTTTCTGCTTTATAATTATATACCAGTTCTTGATTTGTCCAGTGTTCATCTAATCTCTTTTTGAAAGAGTTAACTGTTGATGCTGATACAATATACTCCGGAAGATTGTTCCATATTTTGACCACACGCAAAGAAAAAGAATGTTCCCTGATGTCAAGTTTAAAGTGCTGCATGTAAAGATTTTTGGAGTGACCCCCTTGTTCGCTGAATTTGAACTTTGTCGATCCACAATTTAAGGAAACCAGCAGCGTTACTATCACAAAAATTGTTCGTAATTTTGAAGACTTTAATCATATCCCTACGAATCCTTCTGAATGCCAATGTTGGTAATTTTAGGCATTTCAGTCTTTCCAAATAAATCAGTTCCTTAAATCCTGATAATTGTTTTGTTCCATTTATTCCATTTACATTAAAGTACCTGGATATGTCTACTTTATTCTGAACAAAGCATATCTGTTTCCTTAACATAGAATGACTTATCAAAATTCTTTCTTTAAATGTGTTTAATAAAAGTTTTGCAGAATTGCTCAATCTGGAACACCAATTTGTGATGGACATTGTTTCATTCTGTAATTATCATAATTTGTTAACTCACCTACATCTTGGTAGCTTTAAAATTTTCGAGAAAAAGGTGATAGCAGGTAACGAATTCTATCAAACAGCTGATTCTGTGAATACTGATCAGGATCTCTATCAACTAAGATGGACAACATGTACAATATTGATACTCCATGCTAGGTGATCTTACAATCACACAAACATCACAAACTTAATTAAAAATTGAAGTGGTAATAATCACATCTTAATCAGATAAAAAGGTGAAAATTTACCTCACATATTTGTCTGGCTTTTTGCACTTGGTAATTCATTAGGTAGGCACAAGTCTGTAAAACGTTAGCAGAGTTTTCTCCTTCCCTTCTTTTCACTGTACTGTAGACTGAAGAAAGACTGCTAGTCATGAACTTTGAACTAAATAGTACTACCAGAGAGTGTGTAAATCAGAACTTTCACACCGGACCTAAAAATTAAACCTTCTCATATTTTTATTGTTACTCTCTTTGCCTAAGAAGCATTTATTTAACATCAATGTATTTTTGTAACAATTACTGTTAGTGTTTCATCTCTTTATCAAGCCTTGTCCTCATCAATATATAACTTTGATCAAGGAATGCTGTAAATTTAAAATGTGAAATGATGTAAGTCCTCCATTGTATAAACTATTAGAAGTGGCAACCAGCTTTCTCCCTCTTCCTCAAAAAATTTCTAAGTAAAATTTAAAATTCCATCATCCTGATGAAGAGAAGAATTAACCTGCACCACCTGTTCCTTTTTCTGACCAAGGAGGGCCACACAATGTAAGTTTTTATATAGCATGGACTCTCTTAAAGTCAGGAAGGTTCCATACAATACTTTATCTCATGAATATGAACCATCTTTCAAAGTCACTAATTACAAACAGCAGTACAGTCGAAGATTCCTACCTTTATCAATTAGAGTTGGATCATCGTACCGCACAAGTTTAGTCAGTACAGTATAATAACCTAGTCAGTATAATAACCAGTACAGTATAATAACCTAGTCAGTACAGGATAATAACCTAGTCAGTACAGGATAATAACCCAGTCAGTACAGTATAATAACCTAGTCAGTACAGTATAATAACCCAGTCAGTACAGTATAATAACCCAGTCAGTACAGTATAATAACCTAGTCAGTACAGTATAATAACCTAGTCAGTACAGTATAATTAACTTGTCAGTACAGTATAAATCACCCAGTCAGTACAGTATATATAACCTCAGTATATCACTGGTCAGTACAGTATATATCAGTCAGTACAGTATATATCACTGGTCAGTACAGTATATATCCCAGTCAGTCAGTATATATCATTGATACAGTATATATCACTGGTCAATACAGTATATATCACTGGTCAATACAGTATATATCACTAGTCAGTACAGTATATATCACTAGTCAGTACAGTATATATCACTGGTCAGTACAGTATAATGGTCAATACAGTATATATCACTGGTCAATACAGTATATATCACTGGTCAGTACAGTATATATCATTGGTCATTACAGCATATATTTTTGGTCAGTACAGTATATATCCCTAGTCAGTACAGTATATATCATTGGTCTGTACAGTATATATCATTGGTCAGTACAGTATATATCATTGGTCAGTACAGTATATATCACTGGTCAGTACAGTATATATATATCACTATCAGTACAGTATATATCACTGGACAGTTCAGTATATATCATTGGTCAGTACAGAATAAATCACTGGTCAGTACTGTATATATAACTGGTCAGTACAGTATATATCACTGGTCAATACAGTATATATCACTGGTCAATACAGTATATATCACTGGTCAGTACAGTATATATCACTGGTCAGTACAGTATATATCACTGGTCAGTACAGTATATATCATTGGTCAATACAGTATATATCACTGGTCAGTACAGTATATATCACTGGTCAGTACAGTACAGTGTATATCACTGGTCATTACAGTATAGATCACTGGTCAGTACAGGAAATATAATTGGTCAGTACAGTAGATATCACTGGACAGTACAGTATATGTCCCTGGTCAATACAGTACTGTATATATCACTGGTCAGTACAGTATATATCACTGGTCATTACAGTATATATCACTGGTCAGTACAGTATATATCACTGGTCAATACAGTATATATCAGTGGTCAGTACAGTATATATCACTGGTCAGTACAGTATATATCACTGGTCAGTACAGTATATATCACTGGTCAGTCCAGTATATATCATTGGTCAGTACAGTATATATCACTGGTCAGTACAGTGTATATCAGTGGTCAGTACAGTATATATCACTGGTCAGCACAGTATATATCAGTGGTCAGTACAATATACATCACTGGTCAGTACAGTATATATCACTGGTCAGTACAGTATATATCACTGGTCAGTACAGTATATATCACTGGTCAGTACAGTATATATCACTGGTCAGTACAGTATATATCACTGGTCAATACAGTATATATCACTGGTCAGTACAGTATATATCACTGGTCAATACAGTATATATCACTGGTCAATACAGTATATATCACTGGTCAGTACAGTATATATCACTGGTCAGTACAGTATATATCACTGGTCAGTACAGTATATATCACTGGTCAATACAGTATATATCACTGGTCAGTACAGTATATATCACTGGTCAGTACAGTTTATATCACTGGTCAGTACAGTATAATGGTCAATACAGTATATATCACTGGTCAATACAGTATATATCACTGGTCAGTACAGTATATATCACTGGTCATATATATATATCACTGGTCAGTACAGTATATATATATCACTGGTCAGTACAGCATATATCATTTGTCAGCACAGTATATATCGCTGGTCAGTACAGTATATATCATTGGTCTGTACAGTATATATCGTTGGTCATTACAGCATATATCATTGGTCAGTACAGGATATATCACTGGTCAGTACAGTATATATCATTTGTCAGTACAGTATATATCACTGGTCAGTACAGTATATATCACTGGTCAGTACAGTATATATCACTGGTCAGTACAGTATATATCACTGGTCAGTACAATATATATCACTGGTCAGTACAGTATATATCACTGGTCAGTACAGTATATATCACTGGTCAATACAGTATATATCACTGGTCAGTACAGTATATATCACTGGTCAGTACAGTATATATCACTGGTCAGTACAGTATATATCACTGGTCAGTACAGTATATATCACTGGTCAATACAGTATATATCACTAGTCAGTACAGTATATATCACTAGTCAGTACAGTATATATCACTGGTCAGTACAGTATATATCACTGGTCAGTACAGTATATATCACTGGTCAGTACAGTATATATCACTGGTCAGTACAGTATAATGGTCAATACAGTATATATCACTGGTCAATACAGTATATATCACTGGTCAGTACAGTATAATGGTCAATACAGTATATATCACTGGTCAGTACAGTATATATCACTGGTCAGTACAGTATATATCACTGGTCAGTAGGTCAGTATAGTATATATCACTGCTCAGTACAGTATATAACACTGGTCAGTACAGGATATATCATTGGTCATTACAGTATATATCACCTGAAACTACAGTAAATATCACCGGTCAGTTCAGTAAATATCACTGGTCAGCACAGTATATGTCATTACATTATATATCACTGGTCATTACAGTATATATCACTGGTCAGTACAGTATATATCATTGGTCAGTACAGTATATATCATTGGTCAGTACAGTATATATCACTGGTCAGTACAGTATATATCACTGGTCAGTACAGTATATATCACTGGTCAGTAGGTCACTATAGTATATATCACTGGTCAGTACAGTATATATCACTGGTCAGTACAGTATACATCACTGGTCAGTACAGTATAATGGTCAATACAGTATATATCACTTGTCAGTACAGTATATATCATTGGTCAGTACAGTATATATCACTGGTCAGTACAGTATATATCACTGGTCAGTACAATATGTATCACTGGTCATTACAATATATATTATTGGTCAATACATTATATATCACTGGTCAGTACAGTATATATCACTGGTCATTACAGTATATATCACTGGTCAGTACAGTATATATCATTGGTCAATACAGTATATATCACTGGTCAGTACAGTATATATCACTGGTCAATACAGTATATATCACTGGTCAGTACAGTATATATCACTGGTCAATACAGTATATATCACTGGTCAGTACAGTATATATCACTGGTCAGTACAGTATATATCACTGGTCAGTACAGTATATATCACTGGACAGTACAGAAAATATCACTGGTCAGTACAGTATACATCACTGGTCAGTACAGTATATATCACTGGTCAGTACAGTATATATCATTGGTCAGTACAATATATATCACTGGACAGTTCAGTATATATCACTGGTCAGTACAGTATATATCACTGGTCAGTACAGTATATATCACTGGTCAGTACAGTATATATCACTGGTCAGTACAGTATTATATATCATTGGTCAGTACAGTATATATCACTGTTCAATACAGTATATATCATTGGTCAGTACAGTATATATAACTGGTCAGTACAGTATATATCACTGGTCAGTACAGTATCTATCACTGGACAGTTCAGTATATATCACCTGTCAGTACAGTATTGATCACTGGTCAGTAGGTCTGTGTAGTATATATCACTGGTCAGTACAGTATATATCACTGGTCAGTACAGGAAATATAATTGGGCGGTTCAGTAAATATCACTGGTCAATACAGTATATTTCAGTACAGTAAATATCACTGGTCAGTACAGTATATATCACTGGTCAGTACAGTATATATCACTGGACAGTTCAGTATATATCACTGGTCAGTACAGTATATATCACTGGTCAGTACAGTATATATCACTGGTCAGTACAGTATATATCACTGGTCAGTAAAGTATATATCATTCGTCAGTAGAGTATATATCACTGGTCAGTACAGTATATATCGTTGGTCAGTAGGCTATATATCACTGGTCAGTAGAGTATATATCCCTGGTCAGTACAGTATATATCACTGGTCAGTATATATCACTGGTCAGTACAGTATATATCATTGGTCAGTACAGTATATATTATTGGTAAGTACAGTATATATGACTTGTCAGTACAGTATATATCACTGGTCAGTACAGTATATAACATTGGTCAGTAAAGTACATATAACTGGTCAGTAGAGTATATATCACTGGTCAGTACAGGAAATATATATGGTCAGTTCAGTAGATATCACTGGTCAGTACAGTAAATATCACTGGTCAGTACAGTATATATCACTGGTCAGCACAGTATATGTCAGTACAGTAAATATCACTGGTCAGTACAGTATATATCACTGGTCAGTACAGTATATATCACTGGTCAATACAGTATATATCACTGGTCAATACAGTATATATCACTGGTCAATACAGTATATATCACTGGTCAGTACAGTATATATCACTGGTCAGTACAGTATATATCACTAGTCAGTACAGTATATATCATTGGTCAGTACAGTATATATCACTGGTCAGTACAGTATATATCACTGGTCAGTACAGTATATATCACTGGTCAGTACAGTATAATGGTCAATACAGTATATATCACTGGTCAGTACAGGATATATCATTGGTCAGTACACGATATATCATTGGTCAGTACAGTATATATCACCTGTCAGTACAGTAAATATCACTGGTCAGTACTGTATATATCACTGGTCAGCACAGTATATGTCAGTACAGTAAATATAACTGGTCAGTACAGTATATATCATTTGTCAGTACAGTATATATCACTGGTCAGTACAGTATATATCATTGGTCAGCACAGCAGATATCACTGGTCATTACGGTATATATTATTGGTCAGTACAGCATATATCCCTGGTCAGTACAGTATATATCACTGGTCAGTACAGTATATATCATTGATCAGTACAGTATATATCACTGGTCAGTACAGTATATATCACTGGTCAATACAGTATATATCACTTGTCAGTACAGTATATATCATTGGTCAGTACAGTATATATCACTGGTCAATACAGTATATATCACTGGTCAGTACAGTATATATCATTGGTCAGTACAGTATATATCACTGGTCAGTACAGGAAATATATATGGTCAGTTCAGTAGATAATAACCCAGTCAGTACAGTATAATAACAGTGTATATCACTGGTCAGTACAGTATTATATATCACTAGTCAGTACAGTAAATATCATTGGTCAGTACAGTATATATCACTGGTCAATACAGTATATATCACTAGTCAGTACAGTATAATAACCTTGTCAGTACAGTATAATAACCTAGTCAGTACAGTATAATAACCTAGTCAGTACAGGATAATAACCTAGTCAGTACAGTATATTAAGATGTTACAAGATCTGAAATCTGAAAAATCAGGAAAACTTAATATGACCAATGTATACACCAAGTTTCAATAACTCGTAAATTATGCAGATAGTTACTGTTGTGGTACACTGCACTTCTCTTTACTGAGATCTATTTATCTATTCTAGTATGAAGTTTCATATTGATACCTCTTATGATTTTTGTGATATGTTCCGAACAGAACTATGATAATGGACAGATAGACAGAATGATAATGAACAGACAGACAGAGGGATAGACAAAGTGGCAGCCATGAAAATATCACCTTTGTAGGTAAAGCCTAAGGAACGTTTTCTTCTCTGTTTTAATGAACCTCTGAAGTGGAGTCAGCCCTTCTGTGATTTGAAGAACTTCAGCAGGATTAAGAAAATTAACTAGAATCTTTAGTATTAATGTAAGTTGATCAGGTTGAATGACAGCCATATCAGACTTCATTTCTCTGACAACAGCTGAGAAATCCTTGATGCACTGTACAATTCCTGGACAAATAAAAGAAGTTTAGTTACTGCAAGTCAATCATTAACCCAAGTGTTTAATTTTAATCATTTATATTCAGTTCACACTGGACAGATTTCGTGTCCTTTACGTATCACATTTTTGCAAATGCAAAACTTAATAGAACTTGCTTTGAACCAAAATATTACACAATACATTTTACATACACGGCTTTTCCATCGCTGGACATAATACATTTACATTCAATTTTTCATAATAAAAGATCAAAATTAATTTCATGCACAAGTTCTAAAAACTGATAACAATGACGCTTCAAAATCTGTTGGAAATATCAGATACTGATTTGTCACCATAGACATCTTTAAAACAGATTTACCATCGTGTTCATCACTTTCCAACATCTTGGACATAAGGAAGGTAACTCTGTTGATATTGTATGCAAACGATGGCATGGCTCGAATCCTGAAACAGAAACATTTCCCATTCTGGAGAAAAGGACTAAAGATGTGCAACAAAACAGTTATAGAACATCGTACTGTTAGAGAAATCAATGACAGAGAGTATTCCTAAATCTTTGGTACAAGATTTAACAAATAGTTCCTTTATATCCGAAACTCAGAAATTAACTAGCGATCCCTTTAAATCCTTAGCTCAGGAATTAACTACTGGTCCCTTGATACTAACCCAAGGAATTAACGAATGGTCCCTTAATACTAACCCAAGGAATTAACTAATGGCCCTTTAATACTTTAACAAGGAATTAACTAATGGTCCTTTGATACTAACCCAAGGAATTAACTAATGGTCCCTTAATACTAACCCAAGGAATTAACTAATGGCCCTTTAATACTTTAACAAGGAATTAACTAATGGCCCTTTAATACTTTAACAAGGAATTAACTAATGGCCCTTTAATACTTTAACAAGGAATTAACTAATGGTCCCTTAATACTAACCCAAGGAATTAACTAATGGCCCTTTAATACTTTAACAAGGAATTAACTAATGGTCCCTTGATACTAACCCAAGGAATTAACTAATGGTCCCTTAATACTAACCCAAGGAATTAACTAATGGTCCCTTAATACTTTTCAAAGGAATTAACTAATGGTCCCTTAATACTAACCCAAGGAATTAACTAACGGTCCTTTAATACTTTTCAAAGGAATTAACTAATGGCCCTTTAATACTTTAACAAGGAATTAACTAATGGTCCCTTGATACTTAACCAAGGAATTAACTAATGGTCCCTTAATACTTAAATTAGGAATTAACTATTGTTCCCTTAACCTTAATACTTTTCAAATGAATTAACTAATGGTCCCGTAATACTTAACCAAGGAATTAACAAGTAAACCCTAAATTCTGAAACCACGTTGACAGTTTTCATCAATTTTTTATCCAGGAAATCTGTGTATCACAATCCTTGTTATATTAATTCCAAAGGCATTTGTATGTGATTATAAGATTGTATGTGATTAAAAGTGATTATATATTCAAGGAAATATTTTGATAATTAACATGACTGACAATCACATTATTAATACTGTTATCAGTTTACAAACCATACTTACATTTCATTCTGGTAGTAGATGGCTTTTTTGAATTTCTTTCTATACATATATGCCTGCCTTAAGATATTGGCTGTCATGGTGGTTTTAACACTCCCTTCCAATTTGATTTGAACAAATCTCCTTAAAACCTCATCGTCATTCTGAAAAAAGGCATAATATTTATATACTCATGCAAATATGAATTTTCGTTGTGATGTTTCTTTTAAACTTGCTCAATATTCACGGGTAGCTGACAACATTTAACACCATCACAGGTAGCTGACAACATTTAACACCATCACAGGTAGCTGACAACATGTAAGAACATCACAGGTAGCTGACAACATTTAACACCATCACAGGTAGCTGACAACATTTAACACCATCACAGGTAGCTGACATGTAGGACCATCACAGGTAGCTGACAACATTTAACACCATCACAGGTAGCTGACAACATGTAGGACCATCACAGGTAGCTGACAACATTTAACACCATCACAGGTAGCTGACAACATGTAGGACCATCACAGGTAGCTGACAACATCTAACACAAGCACAGGTAGCTGACAACATGTAGGACCATCACAGGTAGCTGACAACATGTAGGACCATCACAGGTAGCTGACAACATGTAAGACCATCACAGGTAGCTGACAACATGTAAGAACATCACAGGTAGCTGACAACATGTAAGAACATCACAGGTAGCTGACAACATGTAGGACCATCACAGGTAGCTGACAACATTTAACACCAGCACAAGTAGCAGACAACATTTAACACCAGCACAAGTGGCTGACAACATTTAACAACAGGATAGGTAGCTGACAATATTTAACACCAGCATAGGTAGCTGACAACATTTAAGTCCATTGTTTACTTGTATGATCCTAGTAAGATAATACTTTGTTTTATCTGGAGTTAGAATGTTACTTACCTCACTGTTCAAAGCTTTGGCTAATTGAGGATCAATATATAGCTGAAACATCATAACCTGATATATAGGAACATGGTAAGGTACAATAGGAACAGACATATAATGAAGAAAAATCTATTTTTAATGTGAAAGCTAGATCAGGAAACATGTATATGTTGATTGAACAGACGTCAACAGATCCAAATAGTCAGTGTATTTAAAGTATTTTTTAGTTAAAGGATAAAAAAGAGTTACAGCTGTACTTTTAATCATTAAATTCATTTAACCAATGAACTGTTTGTTTCGTTATATTTACAAACCTTTATCAAACAGGAATGATGTGTGGATCATTTTAATTCTATCTTTGATTAGTCTGTAAACATTGAGGAATAAACTGTTAGGTTAGAACAATATTGCTGCCCCTATCAAACAGCTGTAAGGACTTCTCTTTTCTCTGCTGTGAAATAAGAACTTACTGTCAAGGTGATACATACGTACCTCTCCAGTCCGAACTAGGTGATACTTCTCATTAAATATAGTCAAGATAGAAGTGTTACAAAGCAATAGTTCTTATCATCAATGCCAGCCAGGATAACTAATACTTTTGTACAAACAAAAGTAATTGAGGCAAACAAAAAATAAATGAACATGTGTCTTTTTTAATTATGGAAATGGATTAACAAATAATACTACCAAATGTCCTCGGTGTGCTGCGTTTTCTTGCATCATGGTGTCTGTCACCTCAACTGCTGGTTTCTGTAAACAAGAAATATTCAATACCATTCTGGCTGAAAATCAAAACACATAGATTTTACTTCAGAGAAAAGCTCTAAAAGGACATGAAATCAGAAAATCATTCCATAACATTACTTTATGACCTACACAGATAAAGTTTGACCTACACAGATAAAGTTTGACCTACACAGATAAAGTTTGACCTACACAGATAAAGTTTGACCTACACAGATAAAGTCTGACCTACACAGATAAAGTTTAACCTACAAAGATAAAGTTTGACCTACACAGATAAAGTTTAACCTACACAGATAAAGTTTAACCTACAAAGATAAAGTTTGACCTACACAGATAAAGTTTAACCTACACAGATAAAGTTTAACCTACACAGATAAAGTTTGACCTACACAGATAAAGTTTGACCTACACTGATAAAGTTTGACCTACACAGATAAAGTTTGACCTACACAGATAAAGTTTAACCTACACAGATAAAGTTTGACCTACAGAGGTAAAGTTTAACCTAAACAGATAAAGTTTGACCTACACTGATAAAGTTTGACCAGATAAAGTTTGACCTACACAGGTAAAGTTTGACCAGTTAAAGTTTGACCTACACAGATAAAGTTTGACCTACACAGATAAAGCTTGACCTACACAGATAAAGTTTGACCTACACAGACAAAGTTTGACCAGATAAAGTTTGACCTACACAGATAAAGTTTGACCTACACAGATAAAGCTTGACCTACACAGATAAAGTTTGACCTACACAGATAAAGTTTGACCTACACAGATAAAGTTTGACCTACACAGATAAAGTTTGACCTACACAGGTAAAGTTTAATGTTTTGGTGTTCATTATCCTAATCAGCAGTCTGAATGTGTACATTTTTGATTTTCTGATCATTTTTTCACAAACCCACAAAAACATTACCTATTAAGGAGGTTAGAAACCTATCAATTCCTTCCCCTGGAAAGAAACTTTTAGCTTTTAGTCAATAAACTGTTATATCAGTGCTGTAAATAATGCACTCCTTCTCAGTATATCTGTCTGTACAATCTTTATGTCAAGTCTGTCTCTTTAACCATCTGTGTAATTCAACTCACTATGTGTAAAGTAAATTTAACTTTATTTCATTCTGATTTATATAAATCACTCTTAATAGCCTTGATGGCACAAATGTGCCTAGGTTTACTTCCAAACAATGATATATTAAAATATGCTTACGTCGTTGTCAAAGCAAGCTTTTCCAATTTCCAGCAATGTCTGTAGTAATAAAGTAAAAACATTCACTTACAAAAAGTTTACTGTATCACTTTGTATACATGTAATCAACTTTCAATGAGAAGTATATATCATTACCTGTAACTGATGTATCTATCATTAATCATACAACATATATACGTAGTACACATTTGATAATAGGATGTATAAACACAACTATTATAATAGTGCACTGGTTATTACAGTTTGTCTTACTAGAAATATATACAATATTATTACAATGTTAACTTGGAATACTACTAGAGAGTTCCACTTCACACAGTGTTTAAGTATACTACTAGAGAGTTCCACTTCACACAGTGTATACTACTAGAGAGTTCCACTTCACACAGTGTCTATGTATACTACTAGAGAGTTCCACTTCACACAGTGTTTATGTATACTACTAGAGAGTTCCACTTCACACAGTGTTTATGTATACTACTAGAGAGTTCCACTTCACACAGTGTTTATGTATACTACTAGAGAGTTCCACTTCACACAGTGTATACTACTAGAGAGTTCCACTTCACACAGTGTTTATGTATACTACTAGAGAGTTCCACTTCACACAGTGTATACTACTAGAGAGTTCCACTTCACACAGTGTATACTACTAGAGAGTTCCACTTCACACAGTGTATACTACTAGAGAGTTCCACTTCACACAGTGTATACTACTAGAGAGTTCCACTTCACACAGTGTATACTACTAGAGAGTTCCACTTCACACAGTGTCTATGTATACTACTAGAGAGTTCCACTTCACACAGTGTATATATATACTACTAGAGAGTTCCACTTCACACAGTGTATACTACTAGAGAGTTCCACTTCACACAGTGTATATATATACTACTAGAGAGTTCCACTTCACACAGTGTATACTACTAGAGAGTTCCACTTCACACAGTGTATACAACTAGAGAGTTCCACTTCACACAGTGTCTATGTATACTACTAGAGAGTTCCACTTCACACAGTGTATACTACTAGAGAGTTCCACTTCACACAGTGTATACTACTAGAGAGTTCCACTTCACACAGTGTATACTACTAGAGATATACCACTTCACACAGTGTATACTACTAGAGAGTTCAACTTCACACAGTGTTTTCACACAGTGTATACTACTAGAGAGTTCCACTTCACACAGTGTTTACTACTAGAGAGTTCCACTTCACACAGTGTATACTACTAGAGAGTTCCACTTCACACAGTGTATACTACTAGAGAGTTCCACTTCACACAGTGTTTATGTATACTACTAGAGAGTTCCACTTCACACAGTGTATACTACTAGAGAGTTCCACTTCACACAGTGTATACTACTAGAGAGTTCCACTTCACACAGTGTATACTACTAGAGAGTTCCACTTCACACAGTGTATACTACTAGAGAGTTCCACTTCACACAGTGTATACTACTAGAGAGTTCCACTTCACACAGTTTATACTACTAGAGAGTTCCACTTCACACAGTGTATACTACTAGAGAGTTCCACTTCACACAGTGTATACTACTAGAGAGTTCCACTTCACACAGTGTATACTACTAGAGAGTTCTACTTCACACAGTCTATACTACTAGAGAGTTCCACTTCACACAGTGTATACTACTAGAGAGTTCCACTTCACACAGTGTATACTACTAGAGAGTTCCACTTCACACAGTGTATACTACTAGAGAGTTCCACTTCACACAGTGTATACTACTAGAGAGTTCCACTTCACACAGTGTATACTACTAGAGAGTTCCACTTCACACAGTGTATACTACTAGAGAGTTCCACTTCACACAGTGTATACTTCACACAGTATACTAGAGAGTTCCACTTCACACAGTGTATACTACTAGAGAGTTCTACTTCACACAGTGTATACTACTAGAGAGTTCCACTTCACACAGTGTCTATGTATACTACTAGAGAGTTCTACTTCACACAGTGTATACTACTAGAGAGTTCCACTTCACACAGTGTATACTACTAGAGAGTTCCACTTCACACAGTGTATACTACTAGAGAGTTCCACTTCACACAGTGTATACTACTAGAGAGTTCCACTTCACACAGTGTATACTACTAGAGAGTTCCACTTCACACAGTGTATACTACTAGAGAGTTCCACTTCACACAGTGTATACTACTAGAGAGTTCCACTTCACACAGTGTTTACTACTAGAGAGTTCCACTTCACACAGTGTATACTACTAGAGAGTTCCACTTCACACAGTGTATACTACTAGAGAGTTCCACTTCACACAGTGTATATATATACTACTAGAGTGTTCCACTTCACACAGTGTTTACTACTAGAGAGTTCCACTTCACACAGTGTATACTACTAGAGAGTTCCACTTCACACAGTGTATACTATGAGAGTATACTACTAGAGAGTTCCACTTCACATAGTGTATATATATACTACTAGAGAGTTCCACTTCACACAGTGTATACTACTAGAGAGTTCCACTTCACACAGTGTATACTACTAGAGAGTTCCACTTCACACAGTGTATACTACTAGAGAGTTCCACTTCACACAGTGTATACTACTAGAGAGTTCCACTTCACACAGTGTATACTACTAGAGAGTTCCACTTCACACAGTGTATACTACTAGAGAGTTCCACTTCACACAGTGTATACTACTAGAGAGTTCCACTTCACACAGTGTATACTACTAGAGAGTTCCACTTCACACAGTGTATACTACTAGAGAGTTCCACTTCACACAGTGTCTATGTATAGTAATAGAGAGTTCCACTTCACACAGTGTATACTACTAGAGAGTTCCACTTCACACAGTGTATACTACTAGAGAGTTCCACTTCACACAGTGTATACTACTAGAGAGTTCCACTTCACACAGTGTATACTACTAGAGAGTTCCACTTCACACAGTGTATACTACTAGAGAGTTCCACTTCACACAGTGTATACTACTAGAGAGTTCCACTTCACACAGTGTATACTACTAGAGAGTTCCACTTCACACAGTGTATACTACTAGAGAGTTCCACTTCACACAGTGTATACTACTAGAGAGTTCCACTTCACACAGTGTATACTACTAGAGAGTTCCACTTCACACAGTGTATACTACTAGAGAGTTCCACTTCACACAGTGTATACTACTAGAGAGTTCCACTTCACACAGTGTATACTACTAGAGAGTTCCACTTCACACAGTGTATACTACTAGAGAGTTCCACTTCACACAGTGTATACTACTAGAGAGTTCCACTTCACACAGTGTATACTACTAGAGAGTTCCACTTCACACAGTGTATACTACTAGAGAGTTCTACTACTTCACACAGTGTATACTACTTCACACAGTGTATACTACTAGAGAGTTCCACTTCACACAGTGTATACTACTAGAGAGTTCCACTTCACACAGTGTATACTACTAGAGAGTTCCACTTCACACAGTGTATACTACTAGAGAGTTCCACTTCACACAGTGTATACTACTAGAGAGTTCCACTTCACACAGTGTATACTACTAGAGAGTTCCACTTCACACAGTGTATACTACTAGAGAGTTCCACTTCACACAGTGTATACTACTAGAGAGTTCCACTTCACACAGTGTCTACTAGAGAGTTCCACTTCACACAGTGTATACTACTAGAGAGTTCCACTTCACACAGTGTATACTACTAGAGAGTTCCACTTCACACAGTGTATACTACTAGAGAGTTCCACTTCACACAGTGTATACTACTAGAGAGTTCCACTTCACACAGTGTATACTACTAGAGAGTTCCACTTCACACAGTGTATACTACTAGAGAGTTCCACTTCACACAGTGTATACTACTAGAGAGTTCCACTTCACACAGTGTATACTACTAGAGAGTTCCACTTCACACAGTGTATACACAGTATACTAGAGAGTTCCACTTCACACAGTGTATACTACTAGAGAGTTCCACTTCACACAGTGTATACTACTAGAGAGTTCCACTTCACACAGTGTATACTACTAGAGAGTTCCACTTCACACAGTGTATACTACTAGAGAGTTCCACTTCACACAGTGTATACTACTAGAGAGTTCCACTTCACACAGTGTATACTACTAGAGAGTTCTACTTCACACAGTGTATACTACTAGAGAGTTCTACTTCACACAGTGTATACTACTAGAGAGTTCTACTTCACACAGTGTATACTACTAGAGAGTTCTACTTCACACAGTGTATACTACTAGAGAGTTCCACTTCACACAGTGTATACTACTAGAGAGTTCTACTTCACACAGTGTATACCGTGTTGTGACATTACCTTTTTGGACTGATCATTAAGATGAGAAGAACAAGGCTCACTTTCAATCATCGAAGAGAACTGATGTTGGGATTCAACAATCCCCTGAAAAAAACACAAACAATTAAAATACCAAATAAACAAACCATGAAGTAAAACAAAAGAAAAATGATGTTACAAAGAGAATCAATGGTAGTACAACTGAGACCAGAAGTGACCCTGGTAAATGTAGGACTTATATCAACAGGAAATCTTCACACTATATCATCCATCAACGATTCTAAAATGGAAAAATATATTTCACAAATGTAAATATCTGCTATTTAAAGCGAAAGAATACTTTTTTTGCCAGAGTGATTTCTTAATTTTCCTTGAGGCTTTGTTTAATCGGATAAAACCTAAATAGATTTTACATGTGTGTGCAGTGATTTACACATATATACACAAATAAAGATGAAAGTTCCATGAAACATTATATGTCCCTTTAACTTTAATCAAATACTGACAGAAACTGATTTTGTAAAAAATCTGTTATACCTGTTTCTTCATTTCCATGACAACGCAGGTCATATAATCTACAAATAAATAAACACATAAATATCAACATCTACCTCATGTCATTCACTGTATTTAGTTGTTTTTGTTTTCTTTTTCACTTAAAAATTAATATTAATATAAATATTAATATCTAATGGTTTATATAAGGACTGACTTTCAAATCTGTTAGTGCAATAATGACAGAGGAAGCAGATCAATGATATATCCTTGTCACATTATTGCTGGGTGAAAGACTTGAAATAATAATTATAAAATCTAAAACAGCATTCATTACAAATCACTTATATAATGATAACAACAATAATTATTTTGCCTGACAAACAGGAGGGGTGTGGGATGTATATCTATAAACTTTAAAGTCTTTCAAAAACAAATCTGCATCCAAGTAGGAGTAGCATGGGATGTACTTATGGACTTAGAAGTAGGACAATCTCTGTGCAGTATGATAACTTTCCCAAAATTGAATAAAACAACTAAGAAAAGTAAGTCATTTGCCCTTGACTCAGTCATATGTCAATCAATGTACAAAATTCATCTAAAAATTTTTAGGTGGGATGCTACACAGGAAGAAAAAATGATACTAGATCATGGTTACCTGTATACAGTGTGATAACAAATGAAATATTAAAAGTTATTTGAAACATCAAGTTTTTCTGTCTAATTTTGATGAATACACATATATATAAACTTTGAATAATATGATTAAGTTTATTAGATAGATAAATTGGATGGTGTCACTCTCTTCGTTCTAACAACTGTCAGCACTTACACATTTCCAGAACCACTGAAATGTTGAATATCAAGAGTGTTTCAGCTGCTTTGTAGACACATATCCTTTGTTTTATTACAGCTAGATACTCTATCTAATAGAAAAGGATTTACAAGGCTCTACCTACGCAGGGTCTATCAGACAACAATGCTGGCTTACCTTTACTGATGGTTTTAGCTTCCAGAAACATTCTGTTCAATGTGATTACATTATCCTGCACCATTTTGATGGTCAGTTTGGCAGCTAATTTATTGATCTTACGAGAACCTTCAAAATGGACCTATGAAATAAAATGAATGCTGGGTTATTTTTTTTGTTGATGAAGTGTTGTTCAAACTGTGACACTATCATAAATCATGCACTGTATAAAGTAGGATTTACTGTATAAAGTAGGATTCAATATGTAAAGTATTATGTAAAACCTTTTAAATAAATGATATAAAGTAGGTTTGGCTGTTTAATATAATTATGAAGTAAAGAAGTGTTTTTAGAGGGTTATTCCAATAAAAGATCTATCCATACCCAGGTCTCCATGTTTGAATTAGCGACATGCAAGACATAATAGACAACCTCTACACCGGTAGTATATCTCAGACTGCTGTGGTCTGTAAACTTGTTACTAGATCTGATAAAGCGAAGAACCTTGATCACAGAATCATTTTCACATAAATCCCAGTATGAATAATATCTTACATTTGACTTCATACCAAGTCCTCTGGCAAAGGACCGTATAAAGAATACAGCCGTATGCTGTGACAAATTATACACTTTAAATCCCTCTGGCAGGAAAGAATGGACAACAAGCTGGTTACCATGGTATTCAATTTCAGCCTTATCCTCTTTATCCACATCAGAGGCCATACAGAGAACATCTAAGACCTGTTAAAATACAATGTCTACTGTACAGACACCATAAGTGATGAAAAATGTCTTCTCTATATACAGTAACAGACATTAGAGTTACAAATGTCTTCTCTATATATAATAACATACATCAGTGATGAAAAATGTCTACTCTATATATAGTAACAAAAATTAGTGTTAGAAATATCTTCTCTATATATCGTAACAGACATCAGTGATAGATACCTGTACTCTATATATCGTAACAGACATCAGTAATAGACACCTGTAATCTATATATAGAAACAGACATCTGTAATAGACACCTGTAATCTATATATAGTAACAGACATCAGTGATAGACACCTGTACTCTATATATAGTAACAGACATCAGTAATAGACACCTGTAATCTATATATAGTAACAGACATCATTGATAGACACCTGTACTCTATATATAGTAACAGACATCAGTGACAGACACATGTACTCCATACATGAATAGACCTTGATAGACATGACTTTATTCTATACAAGAACATGGATCAAAACCAAGTATATTACCTTTTCTGCCTGAATTTCATGACCATTCATAAGTAGTGGCAATAACAGCTGGAGTTGATGAACCCGTCTCATACCTGCCTCTGATTCTGCTCTCTTGATTAACTGTAAATTAACATAGTGTTTAAGCGATGTTGTATAGCTGTTAAAATGTTCATGCTGAAGGTTATAAACTGATATTAAAATACACGCACAATTTTTCCAAAGAATTTTTGTTCGCTTCACCTATATCATAAACAATGCAGGGCTGAACAATATATGCCTGTCCCATATACCTAAGAGCAAATGACTTTGGAGTCAAAAAGAATAGAGTTATGAAGAGGTGCAAATAACTCTTCCAAAAATTATTTCTGCAAAATGCTCTTCAGGAAAACAATTTTAGGTTAGCAACAAAAGATTCTTGACACCCACAACTGTTTGATCTTTATGCTCTTTACTAGGCAAAATCCGAGATGGCTGCCTGTTGGCCATTTTGTTTTTCTGATCAGTCCCAAACTCAAACAGGCACAACTAGGGGCCTAAAGGAACCTATACATGAAATTTGAGAAAGATCTACAAAAAAAGTTCTCAAGAAATAGTGGTAACAAACTTTCGAAATCAAAATCCAAGATGGCTGCTTACAGGCCATTTTGTTTTTTATTTATCAGTACCAAAATCAAACTGGGCACAACTAGTAATCAAGGAAAGCATACACATGAAATTTGAGAAAAATCAATGCTGTAGTTCTCAAGAAATAGCGATAACAAACTTTCAAATCCAAATCAAAGATGTCTGGCTGTCTGTCAGTCATTTTGTTTTTCTGATCAGTCCAAAAATGAAATTGACAGCACTAGGGAACAAGGGGAACCTACATATGAGATTCAAGAAAGATTCAACACTAACTTTTCAAGAAATAGTGATAGCAAACTTTAAAAGTCAAAATCCAAGATGGCCACCTTTTGGCCATTTTATTTTTCTGATCAGTCCTAAAATAACATGGGCACAACTAGAGACCAAGGGGAACCTACATATGTAATTTGTGAGAGATCCATCTCTTACTTTTCAAGAAAAAATGATAACAAACTTCATTGAAACAAGATATACCAGAGGGATCTTGACGCCCACCATGGTTTGATCTTTATATGTCTTTAAAAGTTGGATCTTTTTCCTTCTTTTCTCTTCTCTTCTCTGTTTTTGCTCTTAATGATAAGACATTTGAACATTTTTGCAGAAATAGAGATGATAATCTTTACCTGCCAAATTTAAAATGGCCATCTGGAAGCCATTTTGTTTCTTCTGATCAGTCCCAAATAAAACAAGCACAAGGAGAGACCAAAGGGAACCTATGTATGAACATTAAAATACAAGATAGCCACCTTCAACTATTTTGTTCTTTTATCAAACCCAAAATCAAACTGGCACAACTAGGTACCAAGGGAAACATACATGGGAAATCTAAGAAATTTAAGAAAGATCCATCCAGTACTTTTCAAGAAATAGCAATAACAAATTTTCAAAGTCAAAATCCAAGATGGCTGCCTTTCGGCCATTTTATATTTCTGATCAGTCCTAAAATAAAATTGACACAACTAGAGACCAAGGGAAACCTGCATTTGTAATTTGTGAGAGATCCATCTCTTACTTTTCAAGAAAATGTGATAACAAATTTCATTAAAAAAAATCCAAGATGGCTGCCTATCAGCCATTTTGTTTTTTTTATCAGTTTCAAAATCAAATGGGCACAACTAGGGATCATGGGGAACCTATATATGCAAATTGAGAAAGATTCATTCAGTATTTCTCAATTAAGGGCGATAACAAAAATTGTTTATGGACAGACAGGCGATGGAGGGATTGACGTACGGACGACTGACCACAGCCAATATGAATAGCCCATCACCTCATGATGGTGGGCTAATAAAACCAACAAAGTTGGCATGATTTAAGTGGAAAATTGCAAATGAAAAAAACAAGCTTATTGAAAAACATTGTTAACTAACCTAATATATACATGAAGTTTTATAGGAAAGGAAAGTTAACACTAATTTATTGGTTTTTGATGATGTTTCCATGGTAACACAAAAAGCTTATTATCCTGGTAATGTAATATTAAGATATACCTGATTGATCTTCTTGAGATCTCCTTTAACTGCGTAACACTTCATCATAGTCATATAGCAGTTCAAGTCAGGCAAGATGCCATAGGAGCTGAAACACATCACAGCATGATCAGGAGAACATTTCCAAATATAGATTACCAAGTTGCATTTGCTTCTGCTAAACTTGTACCGGATAGTGTTTTGTAAGTTAAACTGTAACACCTCATGGTCAGTCAAGGTCTCTTGAATAATGTAAACTCTTAAAAACATTTTTGTCTTATAAATCTACAATCATGTTAAAACAGTGTGTTCACTATCCTTTACCTGTGATGTTGATGTTATTGTTTAGTGTCAAGTAAATTATAACGTAGATCAAAATGGTCGGTGTTTCTATACACCCTACAATGGAAAACTTACCGGTCAGTGCGTAAAGGTCATTGTCTTGTCACAATCAGTGTCTTGTATTTCTACAACAACAGTCAAGTGTCTTGTATTTCTACAATAAGTCAAGTGTCTTGTACTTCTACAACAACAGTCAAGTGTCTTGTATTTCTACAACAACAGCCAAATGTCTTGTATTTCTACAACAACAGTCAAGTGTCTTGTATTTCTACAATAAGACAAGTGTCTTGTATTTCTACAACAACAGCCAAATGTCTAGTATTTCTACAACAACAGTCAAGTGTCTTGTATTTCTACAATAAGTCAAGTGTCTTGTATTTCTACAACAAGAGTCAAGTGTCTTGTATTTCTACAACAACAGTCAAGTGTCTTGTATTTCTACAACAACAGTCAAGTGTCTTGTATTTCTACAACAACAGTCTGGTGTCTTGTATTTCTACAATTATGGTCAGTTTTTTTTTTTATTACAATTCTAACCCACCATTCAATTTTGTATCATTAGACATCAAAATAATAGTTTTTAATCAAAAAGTACAGAACTTACCCCATGGATTCAAAAATGGTAGACATTTCATCTTCACAGCTACAACAGAAAATTGTCTTTCTAAAGATGTAAATCAAGTGAATGAACAAGACTATGTTATAGTATTATGTCCTTATACTGGTACATGTATCAACATACAGTCTGAATATTACCTATAGTTAATACATAACACTACACATGATATACCTATCAGAACACTATATAGTTACCTACAGTGTCAATATATAATAATCCCCCGATATCTATTTACGACAGCAAACTTGACCTAAAGTCTGTCTAGTACATAATAATACATGTACTATTACATGTAATATGTGTGATATGTAGTCTAGTACATAATAATACATGTACTATTACATGTTATATGTGTGATACATAACCTTGACCTAAAGTCTGTCTAGTACATAATAATACATGCTCTATTACATGTTATATGTGCGATACGTAGTCTAGTACATAATAATACAAGTACTATTACATGTAATATGTGTGATACATAGTCTATTACATAATAATACATGTACCATTACATGATACATACCACAAAGAATATAGATACTGAACACTGCCTTCAGTTTGAATGTATAATATTACATATCATACATGTGTAAATGAAGCAGGAAAATGCACAGACAGAGCGGAGTTGAGGTAGTCATTACGAGACCCTGCCTCAAAATGAATCAGACTGTTCCTGGTGTGATAAACACAGCAAATGAAGCTGAGGAAATCGACTGTGATATCAATTAGTAGTACATGCGTATGGCAATTAACTTACCCGGCATTAAATGCTCCCCAAATATAATTGCTGGCAGTTTTTGCAGTCATTTGGAAATTGGCAGATCTCATTTCTTTCAAAAGCCTCCTGGATAAAGCAGAAGTTGTATAAATGAAAACTGAATGATACTCCATCAGTTGTGTGGTAGAAATCATCTTTTCTAACATAGAAATGAAATGTATATAGGTGACTATTCAAGGGATTATCGATACCAGTTTTGCTAACGTCTGAAAACATCAGCTCATGATTACTCTGGATTTGATCAAACCTATCAATGAAAGTGAAAAGTGATTTCTACCAATAACTTACTTAACACAATCAAGCTCGCCATGTGCACTATGGTATCCAATCAATTCTTCGAAGAATTCCTAAAAAAATGAAATTAAACAGGAAAAAAGAAACACAGATGAAAGTGATAACTCAAGTACATTGGAGACTAATATTATTTTGTTTGTTACCAGACATATAAACAAAACCACTATGTGTCTAAACTATGTAAAGTAACCTGCATTATATTCAAGCAAATCCTGAAGTGTTTGAGAATCAAAATAATTTCCGCAACATTAACAGAAATTGTCACAGCTGATATGTTTGAATTACGGCTTACTTAGCTGATTGTTATAAGGTACATTGGCCTAGCAATTTTGTACTGTTCTACATGTTAAACATAGTGTACTCCACCTGGTTAGAACAGCTAGAAACCTGTCTACCATATCCCTATCACACTTCTTGTGTGTACATAGTCTATTTTACCTCGTCACACAGAAACATTTATTTCAGTCCCTGTTAAAGACCTACATGGTCTGGAAAGACACCTGTCTTTATCATATCTGGTATCAATTAATCAAGACCTACATGGTCTGGAAAGACACCTGTCTTTATCATATCTGGTATCAATTAATCAAGACCTACATGGTCTAGAAAGACACCTGTCTTTATCACTGCCTACCTGGTCCTGGCTAAGACCTGCCTGTCTCATTTCTTCTTGCAAATTTGTGACATCAACCATCATCTCATTTTCCTTGCAGGCCATTACATAATTTGTGTAATTAGATAAATCCAGTGTGTATCCTGATGATAGAAACATGTTAATTACCTTTACTGTATCTGACTTGTCATGTATGTCCAGTCATCTGAAAGATTCATGTTCTTCTATACATTTGTGTTGTCCAGAAAGCACAACAGCGAATCTTATAATAATTGATAGTCAGCTAATATAAGAAATAAACATTTTCTGCAAATTAATTCTCTTTTATTCATTAAGGTCTATACAATTATTCTATTCATGTACTTGCATGACACTTTAAGAATCTTTGACCAACCTTTCCAAGATTTCAGGAGATTCCAGACCTTTGTAGTTGTCCTTTTGCGTCGAAACTTCGTAACATTTAACACTTCTCCTGTCATACTGAGGAGTTCACTCCCCTTTCCGCTGGAGAGTACTGGTTCACCTTGTGCTGACCAAGGCATAGTAAAGTAAATTAGAGATCTCAGAGGGATCTTTAATGGCACATGCCATTGTATGATCTTTGAATTCTGCATCAGTTGAATCGTTTTTCTTTCTTTCAAACTGATCCCAAAATCAAGCATGCACAACAAGGGACTAGATGGAACACACATTTGACATTTTAGAATGTTCCATCCAGAACTAAACAAATTTAAATCAATACCCATTCAAAATTAATGATGGCTGTCTACGGGTCATTGTATTTTTCTGATGAGTCTCAAAATGAATAATGCATAACTAGGAACAATGGAGGACCTTAACAATGACCTACCCATCCAAAACCTCTAAAGAAACAGCAATACAATTTATAACTATCAAAATCCAAGATGACTTATTGGTGGCCATATTGTTTTTCTAAATTTAAAAATGCACAACAAGCCACATAGGAGTATCTACTTTGAGGTTTGATAAAAACTCCACACAGTCCTCTCTAAGAAATAGCAAAAACAATCTTCAACTTTCAAAATACAGTAATACAGCTGCCTGTCAGCAATTTTATTTTCCAACAGTACCAAAGTTGACAAAATACAACATGGAACCAAAAGCAGCCCACCCAGTAAAATAGAAATTTAAGAAAAGTCCACACAGTCCTTCATAAGATATAGCAAAACAAAACTACAAATTTCTGATCAGTCCCAAAATTGAGCATATACATGTAGGGACCAAGGGGAACTTGCAAATGAAAATGATCGAGTAGTTCTTAAAAAATAACAATACCAAGAATTGTTTGAGAACTGAAAGACAGACTTCAGACTAATAACAATTCAAACAGCAAACTTTTTCACGATGACAGGCTAAAATCTCTAAATTATCAAGCACACAATGAATATACATGAAGAAATGAGAGAATGATAAGAGAGAAGAAAGTGGTGATGAGAAGAGCAGAAAGTGGTGATGAGAAGAGCAGAAAGTGGTGATGAGAAGAGCAGAAAGTGGTGATGAGAAGAGCAGAAAGTGGTGATGAGAAGAGCAGAAAGTGGTGATGAGAAGAGCAGAAAGTGGTGATGAGAAGAGCAGAAAGTGGTGATGAGAAGAGCAGAAAGTGGTGATGAGAAGAGCAGAAGGTGGTGATGAGAAGAGCAGAAAGTGGTGATGAGAAGAGCAGAAGGTGGTGATGAGAAGAGCAGAAAGTGGTGATGAGAAGAGCAGAAAGTGGTGATGAGAAGAGCAGAAAGTGGTGATGAGAAGAGCAGAAGGTGGTGATGAGAAGAGCAGAAAGTGGTGATGAGAAGAGCAGAAGGTGGTGATGAGAAGAGCAGAAAGTGGTGATGAGAAGAGCAGAAAGTGAAGAAGTGTGTACTCAGACTCGAGTAAGTTCATTCCTGAGACAATTTCTGTAAATAAATAACAAATACTCAGCAGGCTTCATGTATACATAATATTTCTGTAAATAATTAACAAATACTCGATAGGCTTTGTGTTTACATAATTTATCAATGATCTTACTGTCAAAAATTATTTTGGCTGACAAATGTGTTATATGCTTTTTGTATTACTGAACTAAACACTGTTCAGTTTGAAAAAAACTCATAGCTTAAAGTTATACATACCTCTTCTATCTTCCAATGATTTACAAACTTTGGAGAAAGGTATTATAGGAATATATCGCCGAAGCTGCAAGTTTTTTTTCAACTTATACAAGCTGGCCTCCACTTCATCATTAGTGTTGGGAAAGGGTCTATGAACCTTCTGTGTAGGAATTCGCATTGACTGCATTGTAGACAAATTTCTACAACAAACCAAGGCACTAGGATGCTAATAACATTTTAAATATAAATGCATAAAAAGACAAATGCTCATATTGTGTGTAAAATATGTACAACATGTTGTTGTTTAGCAAATACATTCTACCAGTCTGGGCCAGATATATGGTTCGTGTACAATGCCATGTACAGGCAATAAAGTCATGGCTGAGCTATAATCATAATTACAGTGCCAGTAATATCTAAATTGCTTGGCAGAGGTATGATATTAACTATAAGGTCAATGTCAGCAATATCTATATACTAGTCTGATGATAATCCCTCCTGAGAATCCTCCTTGGGACACTGTCACACATTCCAACTGAGTCCCAAGGAAGAATTCCAAATATGATCAGTCTGATGATTGCTAGCCTGCAGTGAGCCAAAACATACATGTATATGTCGACAACACAATAAACAACAGAAATGTGATGCTGGTACCAATCAATAAAGATGTGAAAGAACTGGGAAAATACACAGTCCTGTTGAATTTCCCGACCAGGATTTAAACCTGAGTATCTGGCATGGTAATCAACCGGCTCTACCAACTGAGCAAAAGAAGCACGCTCAGCTGAGTGACAGAGACCGTATTTAACACTATATACAAGCCACACCGACCCGTCAGCTGAGTGACAGAGACTGTATTTATCACTATATACAAGCCACACCGACCCGTCAGCTGAGTGACAGAGACTGTATTTAATACTATATACAAGCCACACCGACCCGTCAGCTGAGTGACAGAGACTGTATTCAACACTATATACAAGCCACACCGACCCGTCAGCTGAGTGACAGAGACTGTATTCAACACTATATACAAGCCACACCGACCTGTCAGCTGAGTGACAGAGACTGTATTTAACACTATATACAAGCCACATCAACCTGTCAGCGGAGTGACAGAGACTGTATTTAACACTATATACAAGCCACATCAACCTGCCAGCTGAGTGACAGCGACCGTATTTAACACTACATACAAGCCACACCGACCCGTCAGCTGAGTGACAGAGGCTGTATTTAACACTATATACAAGCCACATCAACCTGTCAGCGGAGTGACAGAGACTGTATTCAACACTATATACAAGCCACATCGACCCGTCAGCTGAGTGACAGAGACTGTATTTAACACTATATACAAGCCATACCAACCTGTCAACTGAGTGACAGAGACCATATTTAACACTATACACTAGCCACACCGACCAGTCAGCTGAGTGACAGGGACCTGTAGCCACACCTACCCGTCATCGGAGTGACAGAGACAGTATTTGACACTATATACAAGCCATATCGACACGTCAGCTGAGTGACAGGGACCTGTATTTAACACTACATATAAGTCACACTAATGCGCTCCTATTACACAAATCTCTGTTTTTCTTGAGATTTCCTAAATTTCAACACGCGACTTCACATACCATAACTCGTGGAATTTCGTTGGGCACAAATATGAAAGAGCAAGGAAAATACACATTCCTGTCGAGTGCCCCGACCAGGAATCGAACCTAGGTCTCTGGCGTGATAGAGACACTGCATTTACCACTATATACAAGCGACACCACCCCTGCCCCTAGGCCATATGCATACCTGATCAATTGTCGAGAATTATATAAATTAGGATGGAGATATTCCCGACATGCAACCAGGAAATCTTTCATTAATCGGATATTCCAAAAAGAAACTGGCGGTTTCTTCTTGCAGACATATCGCATGGGGGCCGCCATGTTGTTGACCGTAGGTTGTTAAAAAAAACACTCGCTGAATGAAACGAAACGAATCAAACAAAGTATTTAAAAGTATTTTTGGTGGAACGTATATAATACGTTGTCACTTGTCGCCAATGTTAATCTTGTAATCAAACAAAATTATAGTATACATCTTTAAAAATGATACTTGCATAAATTGCCTCTTGAACAAACAAACGAACAAAACAAAGCTGCAAAACATAGTTCTTACATTTTTTATTACAAAGTATAACTATTTTACTGACACACAAAACATCAAATTATCGTATTTCTTTAAGTTATCACATTATCTTTTTGTAAAAGTTACATTTTTCGCTTACAAAATTACTTTTTTATTATTATTATTTTAGATATGTAGTGTTGACCGAAAAAAATCAATCATTTACTGTCTTGCTGTTGTTTTGCTGTTGTTTTGCTGATGTTTTTTACTGTTGTCTTGCTGCTGTTTTTCTGTTGTTTTGCTGCTGTCTTGCTATTGTTTTGCTGCTGTCTTACTGTTGTTTTGCTGTTGTTTTGCTGCTGTTTTGCTGCTGTTTGCTACTGTTTTTGCTGTTGTTTTGCTGCTGTTTTGCTGTTGTTTTGCTGCTGTTTTGCTGCTGTTTTGCTGTTGTTTTGCTGCTGTTTTGCTGCTGTTTTGCTGCTGTTTTGCTGTTGTTTTGCTGCTGTTTTGCTGCTGTCTTGCTGTTGTTTTGCTGCTGTCTTGCTGTTGTTTTGCTGCTGTTTGCTACTGTTTTTGCTGTTGTTTTGCTGTTGTTTTGCTGTTGTTTTGCTGCTGTTTGCTACTGTTTTTGCTGTTGTTTTGCTGCTGTTTTGCTGTTGTTTTGCTGCTGTTTTGCTGTCGTTTTGCTGCTGTCTTGCTGTTTTGCTGCTGTCTTGCTGTTGTTTTGCTGTTGTTTTGCTGTTGTTTTGCTGCTGTCTTGCTGTTGTTTTGCTGCTGTTTTGCTGTTGTTTTGCTGCTGTTTTGCTGCTGTCTTGCTGTTGTTTTGCTGCTGTTTTGCTGCTGTTTTGCTGTTGTTTTGCTGTTGTTTTGCTGTTGTTTTGCTGCTGTTTTGCTGTTGTTTTGCTGTTGTTTTGCTGCTGTCTTGCTGTTGTTTTGCTGCTGTTTGCTACTGTTTTTGCTGCTGTTTTGCTGCTGTCTTGCTGCTGTCTTGCTGTTGTTTTGCTGCTGTCTTGCTGTTGTTTTGCTGTTGTTTTGCTGCTGTTTTGCTGCTGTCTTGCTGTTGTTTTGCTGCTGTTTTGCTGCTGTTTTGCTGTTGTTTTGCTGCTGTTTTGCTGTTGTTTTGCTGCTGTTTACGCATTTTTCAATTTTTACTTGAATATAACTGTTTTACATTTTACACTTACAACATCAAATATTTGATCTCGAGCAATGCTGACGAGTAATTTATTTATGAAATGTGCACATACACTGCACCAAAATTAATACTGGTGTCATCAATGTTTATTATTACAAGTGGTAAGGGTAGCAATGCACTCCCTACCGTTAATGTAATAATTATTACATAGCAGTAGGGGAAGCAATGCAGTCTCTACCGTTAATGTAATAATTATTACATTAGCAGTAGGGACTCCATTGCTTCTCCTACCATTAATGTAATAATTAGTAATCGTGGGGTTCGATTCTCGGCCGGATCGTAATACCTAAAGCTATGAAACGTACGCCATATGCTATGCCTACAATTTGTCATTTCGCGGTCCATCTCGCATAAATATTTCCAATTTACTCACTTCATTTCTTTCCTAGGATGTTCAAGATAAAGTTAAATATATCTTGCCATATCTTGAGGAGGATAATTAATTGGTTAATTGTCCGGTCAACACATTGCAGGTCATTTACGGATATGCCTGTTTAAGTTGCAGAGGAAGACCCTAGAATATCTGCATAGAACCACCGACTTCCAGCAAGTAACTGCCAAATTTCGACCACAAGGAAAGGAAATCCCTAAAAATCATCATCTTCTCTGAACGGGTTTCGAACTCAAAACCTTGGAGGTGATAGGCTACAACGATCACGGGGCACAATGACCTAGACCGTTCGGCCACCGATTGTTACATTAGCGGTAATTTAAATACAACCACAACGCTTAGTGTAATGATTTATTTTGTATTACTCTAAGCGTAACAATTGCAACTCTTAATGTAATGAAGATGAGTATATTACATTAAGCGTAACGGTCGCAACGCTTAATGTAACAATTATAACATTAGCGCCGTTATTACATTAAGAGTTGCGTCATTCTTCCTTGTGTATCACACTAGATTTTAATACACCTCCCCTCATGTATTTCGGGGGGATAACCACTCAACTAATTTCTTAACAATGTGCCTTTTATCAGACCTGAAGTAAGAGGCAATGTCATTAGTGAAACATCAATATTGCGTCTTCAATGTAGGATATAAGTCAATGACTCCAGTGTCTGGGTCATTTGTCAATGGAGCTGAATACTGTAACGTCTGCAATAGCTGCTGAATTAGATGCTGACAAGACGAAGCATTCTTAACGCCTGCATCACTATAGCTAAATGTTTAAAGTATATACTGGCATGTTTATGATTTAAGATATGTGAAATTTGCTTAACATATTCTTTATGATACTAAACTGTGGTTGATATCAAAGGCTCTGTCGGAGGTAAGTTTGATCAAGGGCGAGTACCAAGGCCAGTGAAAATGATATAAATTGTCTGTGTGAGTTATGTTCTTCGTGTTACGGGGTCTCCTTGTATCAGCTGATGGCAATTTCACTGAACAACATGCAAGAGGCCCGTCGCACGATATTCTGTGCAATGAAGTTAAAATGATTCGCCCTAGAACATAAACACACCAGCACAGATCTCAGCTCCCCGGGAAACGCAATTTCAGGAAAATCGCCAAAGCAGTCTACATTGTCTCTCAAAAGTCTCTCAAAAAGGTTGGTGTTCGGCACGTTTAAAACGTTTCTCCGCCTATTTAAACACGCAGTTTTACTTAAATCGCTACAACGTAGTAGCATTGGTACTTCAGGATATATATTATGTTGACGTGATAATGAAACATGCACGCACGCTTCATGCAACGTGATACATTGTTGAAAATATACAGGTCTTTGACTTTACCAGTGTAAGAACATGCTAATAAATTACGGTAGGGAAGTAGTGTGGATGACTCCGATTTATTGGGGAAAAAAACCAGCGTCAGGCAGCACATATCAATACAGGTTACTTACTTATGCAAGTAACAATTCTCTCTATGTTGAAACAACTCTTATAGTACCTTTGGTTGGAAGGGAAAGAAAGAAGTTACATGTTTTGTATAAGATGAAAAGTGGTTTGGCTTCTGACTGTTTAAAATTCTTATTCCCTCCAACATTTTGGTGAAACGAAGCTGTATCTAGTAATGTATTGACAACAGACTACCTAAATCTTAATTCCTCTTTCTACACTTTAACTATGTGATACACTTAATATCACATCTTCGCCATCATTGCAAACTTTCAAATCTTCTAATTATCTCCAAACCAGCTAAAACCCTTGGTCTACTATAGATTTGGTGACAGGAAGTTAAATATACTTCACACAAAGTTCATCAGGGATGTGTTTCTTTGAAGTTTGGTGTAACGACACCGAATGCTCATGTGGAAACCTTGGTGAATATGCTTTTTTTTTCTTTGATTGTCCCAATGATGACCAGGAGACATTTACTTTTCTCTAATATCAGAAATGTAGTCTTGTTTTAAAATTTAGACTTGCATTATTATAATTTGTGTTCTTATTTCTGACATAAACGTAACTTTCTAGTATCAATAAAATTTAAAGTTCCATGACCCCTTGGATTGCCAAACGCTGTAATTAGAATTTGTTTAGGGAAAGGGCTTAGATATTATGACTTTTTCCCAATACTATTGCTGATAATTATAGCAATACAATATGAATTATATTCCATTGTTGACAGTTTTCCTTACTGCTATTTTACAGAAGTCCCTGGTGATGAGAGACTTGTGTGCTGTCTGTGTAAGAGGCAAAGCTTCCCATGTGGTTTTGAAGGTACAAGGACTTGAATTTAGTCTCTTTTTTGTGTTTTTGTTTTTTGTAGCCCCTTATCATGCTCAAATAGATAAACATTTGTTGATATCACATGTAATATCAATTAGAAAGAAAGCAAAACAGGGCTTTAATCTCACGAATCACAAAATGTCTGTGGCATTGCAAATCAGCACTTGTATCCCCACCCCTCTCCCCTTCCAAGCAAGCATGGCGTTCAGTCATTTCTATCATGAAAGTTTCCTTGTTATGTCAACATTACAAACAATAAATTAATAAATAACTAAACATTGATTTGTTTTATCTGTACTGCTCCACATTCTCCTTTTATCCCAATGCACCTAATATTGGATGTTCACACAGTGAAGGTGAATGAGATGGAAACAACTTTTTCTGACCGAGGATCTTGATGAGGCAACCAATCCCATGAAGACATTGTTAATAAAACCAAATAGAAAAGTGAAATTAAGGCATTCCCAAATCAAAAAGAGAAACAAATGGTATCTGGTACATTCTGTATTCAAAATGACATATACTGATGACTTAGGTTGTCATACTAGAGACATTGAATTACAGACATCTGGAAACTGATGTAAATTTACAATTTGACAAAGCATGGATTCCAGAAAAAAAATGTCTCTTAAACTATTATTCACTTTACAACTACTGAAGTAAACATGCAATGTTCCAAGTTGTTGTCCTTATTCAGGAAATTTCAATATTAGGGTCATCAGGCTGCCTAAAACAAACCCTAAATGTGTATTACCTCCCTTGTGCTTCATAAATCTACTAAGTATAACATGTTATTTGTAATTGTTTAAATGGTTGACTGAACTGTCCAGGGATGTGTAATACTGTGTATAGTAATAAATATTATCAAGGAGTGATTTTCACGACACAGTATCAATAAATACAGTGAAACATCACTATTAGTACAAGTTTGAGGGAGGGGGAGGGGCTTGTGGTGTGAAAGTGGTCTGAATTGTGGGACAGTATTAGTAGTTTGATAAACCATCTGGAACTGTAACTCTGCTCAATATATGTACCTGTACTATATAGGAGGTGTAATTTCTATTTCTGATTTCTATTTGCTCATTATAAATAGAACTTTGGAAAATCCAAGATGGTTACCTATCTGCTATTTTTTCTGATCAGTTCCAAAATGGACTCAACACCGAAAGGCTAGAGATCAAGAGGAACCAAGAAATATTCAGCACTTCTCAAGAAATAGAGATAACAAATACTCCTTGTCAAAATCCAAGATGGCTACACATGCATTACTTTTAAAGATTTATACAAGACACTAGGGAAACCTATATAATTTATGAAATATGCAAAAAAAATCCATCTTGACTTATTTCAAGAAACACAAATGAAATTTTCTAAATGTTAGATGGCTGCATGTCAGTCATTTTGTTTTCCAATCAGTCTTAAATTCAAGGGCATTACATCATACCAGGACAAAGCAAAATTTGAAGAACATACATTCAGTACTTCTCCAGAAATTCTGATAACAATCGTGCATAGTACAAATCCAAGATGGTTTCCTATAAGCAGCTTTTTCTTTCAGATAAGTCCCAAAATCGAGAAGGCATCACTTGGGACTAAGGGGAAATTTTATGAGAAATTAGAAAGACCCACAAGTAATTCTCAAGAAATATCAATAACAAAATTGTTTAAGGACCGATGACAAGAGAGACGGGTCACAGACCACAGATGTAGAGTGATATGACTGATCCACCGTCTGATGGCTAAGCACTGAAATCACTGTATTGTATTTTCTGTATATTTGTTGTACTCTTGTTGAGAGCAAACATGCTACTAATGGTACAATTTAATGAGCGATACATCACAGATGTCCTGGGATATATTTTCTGTAACATCTTTTATTCTTAATGTTTGTTAACTAACATACTATCACCCTAGCATCCTTCTACTTCACACACGTTTCCTTTGATAAATAATAAAGAATCATAAATGGATATTGAATAAATAATTAAGTGTTTCTCCCCTACACTGCGATCAGAATAACTTGGTCGACCAGGGTATTGTATTTCTATATGAAATACGGAGCAAGTAAGATCTAAAAATGAATACAACTACCCGGATATATATATATATCCTCTGATCTATAAATAGATGTCTTATAAACAAAGTGCTATTAATATCTGCCTGACACAGGTAAGTAAGCAGATGTTATATATGACGCCACCTGGTGGCTACATTGATAAGTTCTGTTAGAATCAATAGATTGAAGCACATGAGTAATTTGTGGTTAACTGTCCACTAGGTAAACTTGACCACTAGCCAAAGCTCTGTCTCAAAAACAATGATGACCAGGTGGGGTCAATTTCTTTTAATCAGTGGACATCAGGAAAGTAACCTCTGCACCCCTGGAACTTGTCATGGCAAAATTGAATATTCTATGTGTGACACCTTATGGACAAGACATACAGACTAGTCTGATCATTTGATGTACATCAACGAATCTCCTTTGTAATCTTCAATAGAAGTATATCAGTCTGTTATTGGTCATATTCTTCTCCTAAATGCAATCAAATTACTTCTGTTGCATCCTCAATCTCGCCATGACACATTCCTCGGCTGCAGAGAGCTATAGTGATCCTAACTCCTGGAGTATCGAGGATGCATAGAGGAAAGATGGGACTGAAAATGGAAGCCAGCAATAATGGCTGTAGTTTTGTGGTTGTTAGGTGAGGTTTCACTGTACTCTCAACATCTATCAGATCTTTTCACTTCACTCATATACTGTATGTAATATAAATTCATTCTTTAAGAACATAGATTCATAATACACACAATATGACCTCTCAGTCAGAAGATTAAATATCTACTTAATGACATTAAACCCTGCTTAATTCAATAAAAAGCACCAGTTCTCATGTACCACATACGAAATCATGTAACATGTTGAGTGTTTTTACCATAAAATATGGTTATTGTTCAAACTCAACTGTAAGTGAGAGTGATGATATCAATTACTGTTTTTGGAAATTGAGATTAAGATAATTTTCATAATAAATGTCATAATAAAAATAAGTCTTCCAAAAATAGAATTGATTTCAGTTGTGTACAAAGTCTGATAAAGAACAACCAGGTAACACAGCAAGTGTAACTGAACCCTTAATAAAGGGCATCACTTCAGAGTCCATCCCCCTGGGCTGTGATAATAGATAATTTCCTAAAGATCAGTACTTCGTTATTTCACATTCCTCATGTTCCATAGTCCATCATTAAGGTAGTGGATATTTTCCACACCAATTCCTTTATTTTTCTCCAAACTGAAACAACAAAAAAATCATTTGTAGATATCAACCCTTAGTGTACAGTAAACATCTACCCTAAAAATTAAACATGGATAACAGTAACATTAACCCTATAGTTAACAGCAGACATTAACCCTATAGTTAACTGCAGACATTAACCCTACAGTTAACTGCAGACATTAACCCTATAGTTAACAGAAGATATTAACCCTATAGTTAACAGTAGACATCAACCCTATAGTTAACAGCAGACATTAACCCTATAGTTAACAGCGGACATTAACCCTATAGTTAACAGCAGACATTAACCCTATAGTTAACAGTAGACATTAACCGTATAGTTAACTGTGGACATTAACCCTATAGTTAACAGCGGACATTAACCCTATAGTTAACAGCAGACATTAACCCTATAGTTAACAGCAGACATTAACCCTGTAGTTAACAGTAGACATTAGCCCTATAATTAACAGCAGACATTAACCCTATAGTTAACAGCAGACATTAACCCTGTAGTTAACAGTAGACATTAGCCCTATAATTAACAGCAGACATTAACCCTATAGTTAACTGCAGACATTAACCCTATAGTTAACAGCAGACATTAACCATATAGTTAACAGTAAAGATCAACACTATAGTTAACATATATTAGACATCAACCCCATGGTTAAGAGGAAACATTAACCATTGCTTATTGTTAGATGTTATTAACCCCAATGTTTACAATAAACATATAAATCTGGGATGCATACATTTCATCTGTAGACATTTTTGTAACTCCAACAGCTACTGCATGTTCTTTACCCTCTGCCATCACAGCCACTACAGTATCAGCATCAACTTTGGTCATTCTTGCACCAGGAGAGGTAAGACCTGGACACATAATGTTGGCTCCACTCAACACAAAACGAATAGCTCCTTTGTCCACCTGCATGTGTGGGGCCAGAAATGGATCTGAAATATGTACCACACATATCAGACTTCATGAATATTACAATGATTTTTCATGTTGCAATGATACAACACTTTTTCACAATTCCGGAAATGATTGGGCATCTGTGTAGGATTTATACAATCTGAATATTACTGAAGCATATACTATTATTTCTGATATTAGCTGTAAGTATCCAGTAATTAATGCATTTTAATTAACCATTTGAAACAAAGGACGTGTATCAAAAAATAAAATACTATCATTAACCACAAAAGGTATTTACAAAATGTTTCACAACAAATTAAATTCATTATGTAATTCATACCAATACAGCCCTACACATATCATGTGCTTTTATAATTTTTACTAAAAAATTGCCATTCTTTAGATTTTTCAGCAGATTCCACAGAGAAGAACAATAGTGATTTTTTAATGGATAGCTAGACTTACATTTGTGAAGCAGCTTTAATGCTGGAACATATTTATCTTCTCTATGACGAAAAAACAATGGTTCTCCTTTAGAGCTGGCCAGTATTTCTATGTGATCACGACTAGAAGAAAACAGGAAACAAAAAATCTCAGAGGAATCATGATGTTTGCCATGTTATATTGCAAAGTGAATTAATCATACTGCAACAATATTAAACAAGAGAAAATGACAAATGAATTTAAAGAATGAGAGGTGTCCTTATACTTGGTTCCAAAATTTAAAACGCACAACTACTATCACCGACCAAGGGGAACATTGAATATGAAATTTGACATTGCATAAATATGGATCATGGAAAATCTATACATGAAATCTGAAAAAGATCCCTTCAGCACTTTTCAGGAAGTAGTGATAAAATAAAAAAAAACAACAACTATCAAATGGCCACCTGTCTGTCACTTTAGATTTCTGATAAATCCCAGAAATAGACAATTCTCAACTATGGATAAGAGGAATCTTTATAATATATTTGAGAATGACATACCCAGTAGTTCTTAGGACTTCCCGTAAACACATCTACCTGGTACTAGACCCCAGTCTCCAAAATAAATCTCTTATTTCAACAAGGTTCAGTTTCCTGCATTTAATTCGGAGCAAATTATGAATTCAATTCTATGAATGGTAGCCCTTAGAAAATCTGCAGTCCTGGGGTGGGATAGATGTTCTACTGAAATAGTCCTTAGTGAAAACAAACAGAAACTATTAAAATCCATGATGGTTGCCTGTTGGCCATGGTGTTAATATTGATCAGGTCTAGTATGGACAATGCAGAACCAGGGATCAAAGGGAACCTCACTAGGCTTTCTAATCAATCAAAATATTACACAATGCACAACTAGGGCTCAATAATTAAAAAAAAGGGGTCATACCAGGAGTGCACACAAAATTTGAGCATAATCGACCCAGTACTTTTCTAGTAATAGCAATAACAAGCATTGTTTAAGGACAGGCAAACAAACCATAGACAGATAAACAGCCAATCAACTGATGATGGTGGGCTGAAAATATTGATGTAGTTTCTATTTACTTTTAGATGCATTTTCAAATTTTAATTGACAGGTAAACTTATTATCTTGATATACTTTCCAATAAATGTTTTTCCTCAAATACACTAAGTATTCTGAGCAAACATAAATATAATTTAGAGAATACAGAGAAAAAACCAGATCCCTGAAAAGCAAGATTATAATTGTACCATTTAACAACTTTGAGATCTCCCTTTTTCGGTATGATCTGGTCGATGTAATCTTTAATATGAGGGTAAATTTCAAGCAGAGAAGCACGGATTCCTTTCTGTACTGTAGATTTCGCCTGATTCACCCCTGTTACACACTCCTTGTCCTCAAATCTGAAATGAATGCAATAATTATTATAAGTACATAACCACATATATTAAGCTACAATAAAAACTTGTCTAGGTAATTTGCATTTAACTTTTAATGACAAATAACACAGGTTTTTACCATTCACATTGATTGATGTAGATATCCTTTAAATGATTAAGCTGTTTATCCTCAAAAGATACTCAGAAATGTGTGAAAAAATAAATTTTGGAAACATTTCCTACTCAAAATCAGCTATTCCAATGCTTAGGTAGAGCACATAATTAATCCTGTGAGCTGTGTATTTCTTAGTTTCTTGAATCATGTGTTTCCTGTTTAAAGAACAATCTTGATACCATTGACACTACAGAGTTTTAAATGAGTAAATTAGTTATTGATATTCATACTATTACTGGTTATGCTTTAAAATGAACATAATCAGTGAAAATGCCGTTTAACAACAGCATAATGCATATGAATAATGACAATGATCATTTACACATATACTGTATCAGATATGTAACATTAGTATGGGACTTAGTAAGTTTGGAATGTACTCTAGAATTACCCTTATGTGGTGTTACTGTCACTGTCTACTGTGCAGTTTGTTGTAAATATCCGTGTTCTATGTAGTAAACTTCTAATTATAAATATATATTCAAGCCGTTTGCTTTCCATCTGCAACAGTTCAAGTTACTCAGGGAGTGGCTTAATAAAACAACTGGGCCCCTATCGTTCCTGTTACATATACGGTATCGAGGCTCTTGGTACGTCATTTGAACCAATTATGGAAACTGTACGGTATTGTAAAACGCCGGGGTTTTTCCAAATACTCTTGTAAGAACTCCTGTCCGTGTGACATAATTAAAATGTTCTGTGATTTCTCCCCTTTTGGCTTAAAGTACACCATTGTATAAGTGATACTTACTTTTTGAACATATTAAGATTTGATTTCAACACACTTATTAACAGCGCTTTTTCAACAATTGGTCAAATCCGAAGCTATGCCAGTCTGTCGAGCTTAGAAGCATGCAACTTCCGGAAAATGAAGAAACTAATAAAGAATAGAAACCGGACGGAATATCCATATATATATCTTTTAGCAAAATCATTCCCATCACACATGCGTCCACATTATCAATAAGATGTCGGTTAGGAAAACTTTAAACCAAATGAAATATTGGTTATTTATCAATAATTATGTAAATATTTCTTTTCCCGTTCATATTTCCCCGGATGTCTGTCATCGGCTGAACTTTCCGAACTTTAGAACTCGAAGACAAGTTCCGGTTCTCGACGTCAATGGAGGATATTTCCAGGGTGAGTTTTAAGTACTTCATTTGTGTAAGTTGTGGTATATACATTATATATGTATCTGCATTATATTTTTACGCCAAAAAACTGTAACGTGTTGATGATCTACTAATGATTCGTTTCTGTAACTAAAGTTATATTACTAGATAGTGAATACGTACTGAACCAATACACGGCTGCAAAAGACCTGCTTACAGTAGTGGAATATAACCTGCTAATAACCCATTATTATATTAGTTAATAAGACTCTATTATCAACTAATAATTGAAAATTGTGAAATGTCTTAATTAGGTGAATTGCATTTCTCAGAAAATTTGATTTTGTGATGAACTATTGCTCAATACCACCGAAAGTTCGTAAAATTATCAAATTTTGATTGAATTAGATGAAAAATGAAAAACCAATAAAGAGCATAGCATTTTCTAACTTACTGCATACGTGTTTACAATAACTGAACCAGATGCATCGGACTGAAACAAGGCATAGATGTACATGTAAAAGGAGAGATAGTCATAATTATTATGATATTCTATCAACTTTTTAGCCCACCATTATCTGAAAAACAAAATGGCCGACAGGTAGCCATCTTGGATTTCGCTGAGTAAAGATTGTTATCCATATTTCTTTTGAAGTAGTGAATGGATCTCTCTCAAATTTCATATATATATTCTCTTCGGTCTCTACTTCTGCCCGACTGATTTTGTGACTGACCAGTAGAAACAGAATAGCTTCCAAGTGACCATTTGGGATTTGGTTGGTAGAGATTATCACTATTTCTGCAAAGGAGTGTTCAAATTTCTTTTCATTGATAGCTAAAACAGAGAAGAGAAAACAAGGCAAAAGATCTAACTTCTGGGTCAGCATTCAAATGGTGTTTGTCGAAAGATTTTATTTTTTCCAGACAAAAGTCAAGATGTACATGACCTGAAGTTCTATTATATAGTTATATCCAAAACTGCTCATCAAGTTTGAGAATATCTGCAAAGTCAAATCATTTGATTCTAAATTAATATATAATCTGCAAACCATATTGTTTAAAATGTACAAAAGTATATATCCTGGTATTAATGAATGAAGTCCTAACTAGTAGTAATCAAGTTAAAGTGGAATAAATGATTATACTATTACAGAATTTGTTGTATGACAATGTACATGTATATTAACAATGTAATCTGCTATCATTGAGTTATTCATTGCTTATTTTTGCCTTTGTTGCAGCCAGAAACTGTGAACTGTGGAGTTACGTCCCATTGATTATGACCATTGATACCTTTGCATCCAATACAGAAAGCTTAACATGAAACATACTATTATTAGATTATCCAAATAGGACATATCTCGGACATTTATGTGACATATCAATGATGGAGATGGTGTATACAGATGAGATCTTGAAAAAGAAGGCAGATGTTTGTGGACAGCTTCAAAGAGCAGTCGTCCAATTCTGTGAGCAGACATATGCAGGAATCACTCACAGCAACATGGAAGTGGATGGCATCATCTGTATTTCCTTTTCCAATTCCTATGACCAACATGTTGTTAAAATACACGAGAGGTTAGGAAAAGGAAGGGAGGAATCCACTGCTAGGAGAGAGAATCACAGTGATTGTTTGAATACTGATATAGACAAAGGAAATGAAGAAAAAACCCAATCTCCATGTAGAAATTACAACAGAATTTCTGATAAAAGTGTGGTTTCTGCTTCTCAAGATGACATTGATGTTTCATCTTACAATGAACAGGAAAATATCACTATTCAGTTTGATTCCAATAGACATGTAGAAAGGTTTAGTGATGAAAATATTGAGGAAAATGTAGCCCAAAATGAAACATTGTGTGAAGTAATGGAGAATGGTACCAAACTTAAAAAGGAATCTCCCCAATCTGGTGCAGGTACAAACAAAAGAAAGAAACAATTTGTAGAATCTGTGGAAGGAAATTATGTGATAGTTAAAGTGGAGCCAGAGGATTTGGATGCTGAAGAGCAGGCAAACTTAAAGGACAACAATATTGTTCAAAGTTGTTGTAGCCAAACTTTAAAGACAGCATCTTTCTCTCCAAAGAGCGGCAGCTATATTCGTCAGGATTCTGTGGAGAAGTTGTCTGTTGTAGATGATAGCAATGACACAATGTACATGGTTACTACAGATTTTCACCCCAGCACTAGCTGTACTGAAACATATCCTTACCAACCATCTATCAATAACTGTAAGCCTGGGGATAGAAGCAGTTTTTCCCAAAGAGATTCTATGGCACGTTCTGTTGACAGTCATCACATGCCATCCACACAGGATGTAACTGATCTGAATCATCATACAGATGTGAATTATGATCTTACAGAAGACCGTTATTCTCAGGATTCTGTTGTCCTAGATCCCAGTTGTACAAAATTGACAAACAAAAAGTCAAAGAGACGAAGCTCTGGGTCAATAAAACCAAATACTGAGGATTTCGATCCAAATGTCTTTCAAAATTTCAGTTTACCTTTGGCTCCACTGGATCCTATGCCTGTTCCTCATCCTGTTGGATTGTCATCAACAAGTGTAGGGAGTGGCTTCAGTTCCGACACACAGTCAAGTCTGTCATCACCGTATTATAATTACAACAGTAATTCCTACTCAAGCAGCTTTTGTGTGTCAAGTGCTAGTAGTCAGTTGCTTGGTTCAAAATCAAGACTCTCTTCGTCCATTAGACCTCACAGTAATTACAATAACAAAGGAAGAACCAGTGCCTTATCACATGCCAAGCGTGCGACTTCAGTCGTGATGCCCAGAAGTGCAAATTTTTCTTCAAAACACACGAAGAAGAATCAGAAGTCGTTGGTGTCTAGCATTGACTCTAAAACACACTTTAACTGCCCACCTTCCGACAGTTTCATTCCGAGCACCGGTAATAGTAAGTACAAGGTTGGGCTGTTGGACACGAGTCAGGAAGCACGAGCTGGGCACGATAAACTGTTTTTCTGTAGATATTGTGGGAAAGGATTTACCATGAAATGTACAAGAAGTCGACATGAGAAGACAATCTGCTCCCCAGCAGGAGCAGGTTCATATAGATGTGAACTCTGTCCAAAGTCGTTTACAAGATCTGACAGTAGATATAGGCACATGTTTAAAGCTCATGGTGTCCAGTCCTAATACAGCACCATAAGCTCCTCAGAAAGAATACAGATGTTTTTTTACCTTTTCTTGCTTTTTTATTTATTTGTTTTGAAGTACTGATAAAGTGGTCATTTGAGCTGACAAAATAATGTTAAATTTGAAGTGTTATTTTGTTGAGATTAAGGTTACTTGTGATACAGTAATTGGTTGTAAAGGTGTATTGTATATAATGTGTATAGAGTAAAAATATTTACATTGTACGTGTACATGTTCAATGTTTGTAAAATGACATTGTTAAATTCTGTGCAAAATCTTTCATACAGTGTTTGTTAACCATTCATTTTCACTTTTGGTTTGGCTAATCGATCGACATCTTACAAAGGTAGACATGAATAGTTTTAGATATTACCATAAAAATGACAATCAAGAATTTTGATACAAGTAGAACATTTGATTATTTTAAGGATTGCTATGTCTGTTGTTGTTGGTGTGAGGTATATGTTGCTTAAAGGTTAGAAAGGCTAATTATATGTATAATTATATACTTGGAAATTGATCATTGAGAACTATGAGTAATTTTTTACAGCCATAGACAAATTGAATATGGATCAGCTCCACGGACAGGGACATTTAAACCTGTGTGTGAACAGTAAAGTAGAAATATCCCTGTCCAAGAAATAAACCCATGTTTGATTATTTTTCTCACAAACAATAAAAAAAAGTTTCATACTTCCCTCATAAATGTATCATGAAATTACATCAAAGTTGGTTTCAGCAGTTTGCGACATGGTTATGCTACAAATTAAGATTTATCCCCAGTAACCACTGTATCACCCTGTGAAGTATGTGAGATAGAGGTATCCCTAGTAACCATGGTATCACCCTGTGAAGTATGTGAGTTAGATGTATCCCTAGTAACCATGGTATCAATATGTGAAGTATGTGAGATAATTATCCCTAGTAACCATGGTATCATCCTGTGAGGTATGTAAGATAGAGTTGTTCCTAAAGACTATGGTATCACCCTGTGAAGTATGTGAGATAGAGGTATCCCTAGTAACCATGGTATCAATATGTGAAGTATGTAAGATAGAGGTATCCCTAGTAACCCTATCACCCTGTGAAGTATGTAAGATAGAGTTGTTCCTAAAGACTATGGTATCACCTTGTGAAGTATATGTGAAATAAGACTTTTAAGTGTCAAAATCTTAACAAATTCAAGTTAGATAAATATAAAGCTTTTTTCATATTGGAACATGTCCTATTTATCTCATAAAATCAAGTAAAAATTCAGTGGTTTTTATAAAAATTGAAGTCAAAGAGACGTGTATTTTACCATATTGAATATGTCAGGATCTCTGTTTTGACGTCATGTACCATTGTGACCTTTAACCCTAAAGCTGGAATGGGTGTGCCAGTGTGACCGTTAACCCTGAAGCTGGAATAGATCTCCCAGTGTGACCTTGAACCCTAAAGCTGGAATAGCTTTCCCATTGTTTCTTTTAACCCTAAAGCTTGAATGGATGTACCAGTGTGACCTTTAACCCTGAAGCTGGAATAGATCTCCCAGTGTGACCTATAACACTAAAGCTTGAATGGATGTATCAGTGTGACCTTTAACCATAAAGTTTGAATGGATGTACCAGTGTGACCTTTAACCCTGAAGCTGGAATAGGTGTACCAGTGTGATCTTTGAATGGATTCAGATCATAATGAGTTATTATCATCTAATATCTAGGATTTTTTTTGACACAACCACATGCCATGTAATGATCACTTTGTAGTAGTGCTTGTTGATGTGTGTGAAAATAGAAAGTAAATAACATGTTTACAAATCTGTTGATAAAGCAGGAAACATTTAATGTAAGTGCCTTATAGTAATATTGTCTTTTTAAATGAGTCTTCATTTGTTATAGTGTGAAATATAAATAGTACGTTGAAAATTCATTTATAGTACAAGGAGACACTGAGTCTCATTGACAATTCATTAACAGTACAGGTAGATATTGAGTCTCATTGACAATTCATTAAAAATACAGGTAGACACTGAGTCTCATTGACAATTCATTAACAGTACAGGTAGACATTGAGTCTCATTGACAATTCATTAACAGTACAGGTAGATATTGAGTCTCATTGACAATTCATTAACAGTACAGGTAGACACTGAGTCTCATTGACAATTCATTAACAGTACAGGCAGACATTGAGTCTCATTGACAATTCATTAACAGTACAGGTAGACATTGAGTCTCATTGACAATTCATTAACAGTACAGGTAGACACTGAGTCTCATTGACAATTCATTAACAGCACAGGCAGACATTGAGTCTCATTGACAATTCATTAACAGTACAGGTAGACATTGAGTCTCATTGACAATTCATTAACAGTACAAGTAGACACTGAGTTATTGATAATTCATTAACAGTACAGGTAGACATTGAGTCTCATTGACAATACATTAACAGTACAGGTAGATATTGAGTCTCATTGACAATTCATTAACAGTACAGGTAGATATTGAGTCTCATTGACAATTCATTAACAGTACAGGAAGATATTGAGTCTCATTGACAATTCATTAACAGTACAGGTAGACATTGAGTCTCATTGACAATTCATAAACAGTACAGATAGACACTGAGTCTCATTGACAATTTATTAACAGTACAGGCAGACACTGAGTCTCATTGACAATTCATAAACAGTACAGATAGATATTGAGTCTCATTGACAATACATTAACAGTACAGGTAGATATAGAGTCTCATTGACAATACATTAACAGTACAGGTAGACATTGAGTCTCATTGCCAATACATTAACAGTACAGGTAGATATTGAGTCTCATTGACAATACATTAACAGTACAGGTAGATATAGAGTCTCATTGACAATACATTAACAGTACAGGTAGACATTGAGTCTCATTGCCAATACATTAACAGTACAGGTAGATATTGAGTCTCATTGACAATACATTAACAGTACAGGTAGACATTGAGTCTCATTGACAATTCATTAACAGTACAGGTAGATATTGAGTCTCATTGACAATACATTAACAGCACAGGTAGATATTGAGTCTCATTGACAATTCATTAACAGTACAGGTAGATATTGAGTCTCATTGACAATTCATTAAAAATACAGGTAGACACTGAGTCTCATTGACAATTCATTAACAGTACAGGTAGACATTGAGTCTCATTGACAATTCATTAACAGTACAGTTAGACACTGAGTCTCATTGACAATTCATTAACAGTACAGGTAGACACTGAGTCTCATTGACAATTCATTAACAGTACAGGTAGACATTGAGTCTCATTGACAATTCATTAACAGTACAGGTAGATATTGAGTCTCATTGACAATTCATTAACAGTACAAGTAGACACTGAGTTATTGATAATTCATTAACAGTACAGGTAGACATTGAGTCTCATTGACAATACATTAACAGTACAGGTAGATATTGAGTCTCATTGACAATTCATTAACAGTCTCATTGACAATTCATTAACAGTACAGGTAGACATTGAGTCTCATTGACAATTCATTAACAGTACAGGCAGACATTGAGTCTCATTGACAATTCATTAACAGTACAGGTAGACATTTAACAGACAGGTAGATATAGAGTCTCATTGACAATACATTAACAGTACAGGTAGACATTGAGTCATTGCCAATACATTAACAGTACAGGTAGATATTCATTGACAATTAACAGTACAGGTAGATATTGAGTCTCATTGACAATACATTAACAGTACAGGTAGACATTGAGTCTCATTGCCAATACATTAACAGTACAGGTAGATATTGAGTCTCATTGACAATACATTAACAGTACAGGTAGACATTGAGTTCATTGACAATTCATTAACAGTACAGGTAGATATTGAGTCTCATTGACATTGACAATTCATTAACAGTACAGGTAGACATTGAGTCTCATTGACAATTCATTAACAGTACAGGTAGACATTGAGTCTCATTGACAATTCATTAACAGTACAGGTAGACATTGAGTCTCATTGACAATTCATTAACAGTACAGGTAGACATTGAGTCTCATTGACAATTCATTAACAGTACAGGTAGATATTGAGTCTCATTGACAATTCATTAACAGTACAGGTAGACACTGAGTCTCATTGACAATTCATTAACAGTACAGGTAGACATTGAGTCTCATTGACAATTCATTAACAGTACAGGTAGACACTGAGTCTCATTGACAATTCATTAACAGCACAGGCAGACATTGAGTCTCATTGACAATTCATTAACAGTACAGGTAGACATTGAGTCTCATTGACAATTCATTAACAGTACAAGTAGACACTGAGTTATTGATAATTCATTAACAGTACAGGTAGACAATTCATTAACAGTACAGGTAGATATTGAGTCTCATTGACAATTCATTAACAGTAGATATTGAGAAGATTCATTAACAGTACAGGAAGATCTCATTGACAATTCATTAACAGTACAGGTAGACATTGAGTCTCATTGACAATTCATAAACAGTACAGATAGACACTGAGTCTCATTGACAATTTATTAACAGTACAGGTAGACACTGAGTCTCATTGACAATTCATAAACAGTACAGATAGATATTGAGTCTCATTGACAATACATTAACAGTATAGATATAGAGTCTCATTGACAATACATTAACAGTACAGGTAGACATTGAGTCTCATTGCCAATACATTAACAGTACAGGTAGATATTGAGTCTCATTGACAATACATTAACAGTACAGGTAGATATAGAGTCTCATTGACAATACATTAACAGTACAGGTAGACATTGAGTCTCATTGCCAATACATTAACAGTACAGGTAGATATTGAATCTCATTGACAATACATTAACAGTACAGGTAGATATTGAGTCTCATTGACAATTCATTAACAGTACAGGAAGATATTGAGTCTCATTGACAATTCATTAACAGTACAAGTAGACATTGAGTCTCATTGACAATTCATTAACAGTACAGATAGACACTGAGTCTCATTGACAATTTATTAATAGTACAGGTAGACACTGAGTCTCATTGACAATTCATTAACAGTACAGATAGACACTGAGTCTCATTGACAATTTATTAACAGTACAGGTAGACACTGAGTCTCATTGACAATTCATTAACAGTACAGATAGATATTGAGTCTCATTGACAATACATTAACAGTACAGGTAGACACTGAGTCTCATTGACAATTTATTAACAGTACAGGTAGACATTGAATCTCAATGACAATTCATTAACAGTACAGGTAGATACAACAATTGTACACCATTCATTAAAGACTGCTAGGCAAGAGAAATATACGCAGACATCTTAATTTTCAGTAGATAATTTTTGACAATGCATTTGCATTGAACAATAAAGATTCATTGATGGCAAAATTTTAATTTGACATTTTAGATTTGTGTATAATGTTTACAGTAGAGATTTCTTCAAAACACAGGTAAACTTTACAATAGATATTTCTTCAAAGCACAGGTAAACTTTACAGTAGATATTTCTTCAAAACACAGGTAAACTTTACAATAGATATTTCTTCAAAGCACAGGTAAACTTTACAGTAGATATTTCTTCAAAGCACAGGTAAACTTTACAGTAGATATTTCTTCAAAGCACAGGTAAACTTTACAATAGAGATTTTTTCAAAACACAGGTAATATTTACAGTAGGGATTTCTGAAAAACACAGGTAATATTTACATGATTGGTGACAATATATGAACAGTAGATACTTGTCAACAGGTTCTGAACATACAATTAATGCACAATGAATGTTGGAGCGATTGACCTTTCTATATTAAATATGTACAGCAGAGAATCGTTGACATCATGTACTTGTACATAAATAATTCCAAAATCTTTTCAACAAATCTCCACAGTTTAAACTGTGTTTAAAAATTAAAATATATTACAATAGAATGGGTCAGAGTATGATTGTATGTTTTGTATGCATTTTCTTTAAATAAATTATCATATGATGGTGTTTAGATTATTCTTTCTGAAGAGTAGCTATTGAGCTGTACTGAATAAAGTACATGCATATTTTGTCTGGACTCTCACTCCTGAACTAATAGTAGCTATTGAGCTGTACTGAATAAAGTACATGTGGATTTTGTAAAGACTAGAAATTAACCTATTGACTTTGTCCGTGATTATAAGCTTTTTCTGATTCAACGGTCGATTATGTTTTCCATACCAAGTTTGGCATAAGTCTTTACACTGAGGAAGGCCTCTGACAAGTTTGGTATAAGTCTTTACACTGAGGGAGGCCTCCGACAAGTTTGGTATAAGTATTTACACTGAGGAAGGCCTCTGACAAGTTTGGTGTAAGTATTTACACTGAGGAAGGCCTCTGACAAGTTTGGTATAAGTCTTTACACTGAGGAAGGCCTCCGACAAGTTTGGCATAAGTCTTTACACTGAGGAAGGCCTCTGACAAGTTTGGTGTAAGTATTTACACTGAGGAAGGCCTCCGACAAGTTTGGTATAAGTCTTTACACTGAGGAAGGCCTCCGACAAGTTTGGTATAAGTCTTTACACTGAGGAAGGCCTCTGACAAGTTTGGTATAAGTCTTTACACTGAGGGAGGCCTCCGACAAGTTTGGTATCAGTCTTTACACTGAGGAAGGCCTCCGACAAGTTTGGTGTAAGTATTTACACTGAGGAAGGCCTCCGACAAGTTTGGTATAAGTCTTTACACTGAGGAAGGCCTCCGACAAGTTTGGTGTAAGTATTTACACTGAGGAAGGCCTCTGACAAGTTTGGTATAAGTCTTTACACTGAGGGAGGCCTCCGACAAGTTTGGTATAAGTATTTACACTGAGGAAGGCCTCTGACAAGTTTGGTGTAAGTATTTACACTGAGGAAGGCCTCTGACAAGTTTGGTATAAGTTTTTACACTGAGGAAGGCCTCCGACAAGTTTGGCATAAGTATTTACACTGAGGAAGGCCTCTGACAAGTTTGGTGTAAGTCTTTACACTGAGGAAGGCCTCCGACAAGTTTGGTGTAAGTATTTACACTGAGGAAGGCCTCTGACAAGTTTGGTATCAGTCTTTACACTGAGGGAGGCCTCCGACAAGTTTGGTATAAGTCTTTACACTGAGGGAGGCCTCCGACAAGTTTGGTATAAGTCTATACACTGAGGAAGGCCTCCGACAAGTTTGGTATAAGTCTTTACACTGAGGAAGGCCTCCGACAAGTTTGGTATAAGTCTTTACACTGAGGAAGGCCTCTAACAAGTTTGGTGTAAGTATTTACACTGAGGAAGGCCTCCGACAAGTTTGGTATAAGTCTTTACACTGAGGAAGGCCTCTGACAAGTTTGGTATAAGTCTTTACACTGAGGAAGGCCTCCGACAAGTTTGGTATAAGTCTATACACTGAGGAAGGCCTCTGACAAGTTTGGTATAAGTCTTTACGCTGAGGAAGGCCTCCGACAAGTTTGGTATAAGTATTTACACTGAGGAAGGCCTCTGACAAGTTTGGTATAAGTATTTACACTGAGGAAGGCCTCTGACAAGTTTGGTGTTAGTATTTACACTTAGGAAGGCCTCTAACAAGTTTGGAAGAGGTGTCTGTAAAAATATTTGAAATATTTATATACTAGATTTTCGT